CATCAAAGAGGAACCAGTTAAGTAAATTATGACACACATCCATACAACAGAATGGGCTTCCCTGGCGGCTCGGAGTTAAAGAATCCACCTGCAATGCAGGAGACTCAGGTTCCACCCCTGGGTGGGGAAGATCCCCTGGAGGAGGAAATGGCAACCCATTCCAGTATTCTTGCCTAGAGAATCCCATGAACAGAGCGGGCTACAGTCCATGGGGTCGCCAAAGAGTTGGATACAACTGAGTGACTAAACAAAGCAACAATAGAACAGAATACTATCTAGTGATTAAATAAAATACACACAAGTATCTTCCTTGTGTGTCAAATACACAACCATCTCCAGCTTACTAAGTGAAAGGGCAAATCAGTGTCTTTATGAAAAAGCAGGAAAAATAACATCAGAACCAAACTTGCTTGGTATATGCCCAATGAGTTCCAGAAGGAGAAACAAGAATCAGATTAACTTGATTGCATCCAGGGAGGGTGAAACTGGGTGCTTGGGGGCAGCAAGGAGACTCTTCACCCTTTCCCACTGGTCTTGTTTGGCTTATGAGCTCTGCAAACGCCCTACCTGTCCAAAATACAAACACATAGAAGAAAAACTTGGAATGACAAGAGTAAAACAGACCCGGGGCGGGGGGGGGCCTGGTTTTTTACTGGGGCAGCACCACCCTAGATCCCTGATCGCGGGGCAGGGGTGGGCATAGGAGGCCACCTCATTCAGCCTCTTCCTCACCCAGCCCCCTTTCATGGATGCCCAGGTGGGCTGGGCCCCCAACGTCATCATCACATTTGACTGTTCGATGGAGACGATGCTGGATTGCCCTAAGCCAGGACCACATGGAACACTGGGCAGATGACTGTGAGGCGGCCCTCCTCTAGCACCTGGAGACATACTACACCCTGTATGGACCTGTCCTGACCTTCTACCAGTAGAAGAACCTGCTCCGAAATGTAAGTCTCCTCACTCCAATCCCAGCCCCCCAAGGGGACCAAGTCCAGCTGAAACAGAGCAGGTGTTACACTGTTACCTAGGTCCCAGACCTCTCTGGGCCTGCCTGAGTTTCCCCAAGCACATACACTGGGGGGTTCCATCTCTTCCATTAGGCAGAATGGGTGCAGCTGCGTGGGTTCCCAGAGATGATGCTGAAGGTCTGAACAGAATGACTGGCTCCAAAACCACACTATTAAGTGTTTTAGAACATGGTGGAGGTAGTTTAGTTGCTCATTCATGTCCAACTCTTTGCAACCCCATAGACTGTAGCCCACCAGGCTCCTGTCCATGGGGTTCTTTAGCCAAGAATACTGGAGTGGGTTGCCATTTTCTTCTCTGTGGGATGTTACAAAATTAAGGATCATGACAACCAGCCAACCACAGCTCAGCTCCAATGCAGCCATGGGTCCTCAAGGTGTAGGAAGCAGGACTATCTTTGTTTCAGTTTGAATTTTTGGCTGTGCTGGGTCTTCATTGCGGTACACAGGCTTTCTCTACTTGTGGCACGTGGACTTCTCTTGAAGTTGTGGCGTATGGGCTTAGTTGCATTATGGCTTGTGAGATCTTAGTTCCCAGACCAGGGATCGAAACTGTGTCCCCTGCATTGGAAGGTGGATTCTTAACCAGTGGATCATCAGGGAAGTCCTCCAAAGTATGGATCTCTTAATTCTTAAAGTGACCCATGCAGTTCCTATACATTGCGATGGAGCTAAGAGAACTTTGGTGTCATTCCTGGTCCCCTCCCACAACCAAGGGTAAAATCGAGAGTGAGAGGAAGGAGCCTGGAGCATCAATGGGTGGGGTGGGAAGGCGGTGAGCCAGCCTGGCGCATCTCCCATCCCATGGGTTGTTCCAGGGGACGGCGCCCCCATGCAGTCTGTGAGCGCCCAGCGCTGTGTGGCCTTTCTAACCGTTTCCCCTCCCCTCACCTGTGTGGCCCTGGGGCTGCACCCGTCAGTCCTGCTCAAGCAACTGGAAGGGGAACCTGCTCTCCCCTCGTTTGTGTGAGGGAGAGGTGTGGGGGCCGTGACCTCGATTTACTCTGAACTGACCCCCTCTGCTACCCCTTGTCTACATCTTGGCCGAAGTTCCAGAAAACATTTTTGCCAAGTGATGCTCTGTCATTGAAAGCCTGCAGTGAGTTGGGAGAGGGCTAGGGGCCCCAACTTCCCCCTCATCTCAGAGGTCAGAACAGGTACACTGCCTGAGGTGAGATGCTGGTGAGGGGAGCCCTGGGTTCCAACCTAAGCTGAGGCTCCATGTGACCCCAGGGTTACAGCCCTCCCCCTTTCCTGGGCCCACAGATGGCTGACTGGGGGCACTCCCACAGGGGTAGTTCCCTAAGGAGGCTTGCGTGGGAGGTCACGAGGGCCTCGAACAGCCCTACACGACACCTGATTTTCCCTGCTGGAATTTGACCATACCTCCCACAACTCTCCCAGCAAAGTACGCCTCTGGATGACCGGCCCTGGGCCAGACAGCTCAAGAGGTCCTCCATGACCGCTCTCCCATCTCCCATCCTCATCCTGAGGCTGCCAACCTTTGGGACAGATGTCCTTCCCTTGGACAGGCCAGGTTTCCACCTCAGGGCTCGCCAGCGAAACAGGCCACAGTGAGGACCGGATCACATAAAGCACTGTGTGGGTTTGTTCCAGCAGCGGCAGGCTGTATCCATGGGAACACCTGTCCCCAGGGACCCTCCGGAGTGCCCTGCTCCCCAAGTTCCCAGTGGGACAAACGCTGGGGATGAAGGGGTGGGGAACTGGTCTGCTGGGGCTCTGCCTGCTTCTCCCTTCCTGCAAGACCAGACTTCAGGCAAAGTTTTTTGGGGCCCCCACCCGACTCTCATTGGCCAAGGCTTGTTCCTCTTCAACTTGTTTCCTCTAGAAACACAACTGCGGCCAGCACGCAGTTTTAGACAAAAAGCACTTTATTTAACCAAAAAATGGGGGGGGGGGGGTGAGAGTTAGGAAAGCACAATGCGCCTGCAGAAAACTATCGTCTCTTAGAACTGTTTTTTTAAAATAAAAAAAAATAAAGGAAAAAACCCAATACAACACAAAGCTTATAATTTCCAATCACCATTATCAGGCTTTTACAACATCTATAAAGAACAAACATCTGCTTCAAAACTCTATGGGGGGGGGGGGAACAGAGAGAGAGAGACGGCACCCAGCAGACTTGGGGAGGTTTTGTTACCATTTATTTGTGAAGTTAAAAACGAGCGATAAAAAGTAAAAACTGCCATACAATTTTTTGTTTTGTTCTCAATTGTTTTCCGTTTCCATGTCCCCTTGAACAGATGAAACACAACAGACCAGTCCTGGGGCGGGGGGCGGGGGCGGGGGGCGGCGGCGCGGGAGGGAGGGGAGCGGAGCTGGGAGCTGGGCAGAGAGGAGCGAGAGCAGGAGCAGACAGGCTGAGGGAGGGGCTGCCTGGCACAGGTGGAGGATGGGCTTTCCTAGGCGTCAAAACCTGGTCCAAGGAATGTTCCAACTCTAACTAAAAAGAAATAGCAAGAGTGACTTTGTTTCCTTTTTTAAAAGTTTATTTTAAAAACATGAAGAGGGCCAAGGGTGGTCGCAGGGAGTGAATGAATTGCTTTCTCCTGAAAGAGGCAGTTTCAGGAAGGCTGGGGCGGGGTGGGGGACGATAGAGATTTTTTTTATATATATATATAATTTTATAAGTTTTGTTTTGCTTTTTAGTTTTTAACTTTAATTTTTTTTTTTTTTTTTTTTTGCAGAGATTTAGTTCTCGCTATCTTCTCTGGCTGGCTCAAGATGAAGGATCCCAATTTTGAAAGAAAAAAAGCATATGAGACACACAGAATGAGCGAGAGAGCGAGAGCCTGGCACTGCCCGTGCCACGACCCCCAAGCCACTCACAGGGAGGGCTCCCCCGGCACCCCCCTTGGCAGCCATCGCTCTCTCGACAAACAAACGGAAAAAAAAACAAACGAAAAAAAGCCCCCAAACAGAACAAAATGGAAAAAAAAATAATAAAAGATTTTCACAGATGAAGAAGTTCACATTCATTCGATTCATTGAGCCTGCGGAGAGGGAAGAGATAGGAATTGGTCACTACGGGGTGGGGAGGGGGTCGGGGCGGGAGACTGGGGTTAAGTGGCAAGGAGGGGGCCAGGAAGCCCCTCTCCTGAGCCTGTGGCAAGCGCAGGCTGGAAGGATGTGTTTGTAGCTGTCTAGTCAGTGCTCTGGGACTGGCTGCAGTCAGACTGGCTCTGAGATGGAGGAGAGTGACACAGGAAGGAGAAGCAGGGGCCGCACAGAGAGAGCGAAAGAGCGAGAGAGAAGCGCTCAGGGCTGGGGGCGGCGGGGAGAGGGGCGCCCTCTGTCTTCAGGAAGGCGGGCGGGCGGGCAGCTCCCGGCGCATCACGACATGACAACCAGAGATCACGGTGTCCCCACAACACCCCTGTGAGGTAGGTTGGAAGGTGGCAGCGATCGTCATGCCCACTTCACAGACAAGACCGGGACACGAGGCGGGCGCAGGCGCGAGAGCAGAGGCTGAGCCTGGGCGTGGCGGGCGGGCCCTGCGGCCGGGCCCCTTGGCGCCGCCCCCGGCCCCCAGAGCTGTGGCCGGGCCCCACGGGGCAGCTGGCAGCACACACAGTCACTTGGACACGCGGGGAGAGATCGTGGGTTTAAAAATAAGAGTCAAAAGAACAAAAACCATGAGAGTAATGCAGAGAGGGGCAAAAATATCCGTTTTCTTCCCAAGTGGCCAGATTGTGAGTGAGCGAGTCAGCAGCCGGGATGGCGACCTCCGGCTGAGCGGATGGCCTGCCCCCCACCCCCAGGACTACCCACCAGTTCAACAGTTCCTCCTTTTATCTGCTGCGCGCTCTCCCCCAGCATCACGACAGCGTTACACAGGAACAAGCGGGCCGGCGGAGAGGCCTCTTCTTTAACCTCTGGACCCAGCGCACACTTCCCCCAGCTCGTGGGGGCTCCCGGAGACCTCTGGCCACACGGCCCCCGCTGCAGGCATCAAGGACACACCCCGCAGGGGAAGGGGTTTCCGGCGCTACCCACTAAGGCAGGATGGACGGTGGCCGGGGGTTGGAAGGAGAAAGGAGGAGGAGGAGGGTGGCAATTCCCACTTGCCTGCTGCTGTCCCTGCTGTGTGGGCGGAGGCTGGGGGCCGCCGGGACCTGGAGTCTGTCCGTAGTAAGCGGCTTGCTGTCTGTAATATTCAGCCCAGGCGGCACTGTAGTCTGGCTGGGAACCCGGGGGTGCTCCTGGACCCCCTCCGGTGGCCACTTGAGCTGTGGGGGAGCAGAGGGTGGGTGAGCAGACCAGGATGCCGGCACGCCTGGTCCCACCCCTGTGGCCCGCCAGCTCACCCTGCTTCTTGTAGTACTCTTCCCAGGCCTTCGTGTAGTCCTGCTGCGGGGGTGCTCCAGGCTGCTGGGGCTGCTGGCCTGTGGGGGCAGGCCCCGAGGTCAGAGGACAGGCGGGGATGTGGCCACCCTCTCGCCCAACCCTCCCTGGCTGACTGGAGCTCCCACGGCGGCCCACACACTCACCGATCTTTTTGTAATACTCTTCCCAGGCCTTGGTGTAGTCCGACTGGCCAGCAGGTGGAGGCTGCGGGGGCTCGCCCTGGGTGGGCGGGGCCGCGGGGGCCGGGGCCGGGCCGGGCACGGGGCCTGGGGGCTGCTGGTAGTAGTGTGAGTAGTAGGCGGCCCAGGCGGCGTTGGGGTCGGCAGCGGCAGCGGCGGCTTTATCTGCAGGCAGAGGGCGTGCGGGCTAAGCAGTGGCCAGGTAACCGGCCCCGCCCCACTGCCCGGCTCAGATCCTTATACTCACTCGGGTCATGAGGAGCAGGCGGCTGCCACTGAGGGTAGGTGTTGCCCCAGCCCTGGGGTGGGTACTGGTGAGGAGGGGGGCCTCCAGCACTGAGGGTGAAAACGAGGGACACATGAGCCAGGTTACCCCAGGATCCTTGCAGAGGATGGCCATAACCTGGAAGGGGGCCCAGAGCACCCCTTATGTGGAACTGCAGATTCCTGGCCCAGGGAAAGGCGTTAGCCGACTGATGCAAGCGACACAGGCCATGTGGACTCAAGGATGTAACAATCCCCCACTACACCACACAGGATTACAGGATCTACATGTGGAGTGGAGACTAGGGCTAACACCCACAGCATCTTTTAAAAATGGTGTCTCTAAACTAACAGGTTGGCCAGGGTTGTGTTTGGCACCTCTGCAAGGTGGAATGGCCTTCTCGGTGGTGAGGAACACGGACATAGGGCCTGCCAGCCTCCTTGCCAACACTATGACCCCCCACATCCCAGGAGTCCGCGGGAATACTCACTGAGGGGGAGCCCCAGGTGGGCCCTGATTGAAGGGCCCAGGGTTGAAGGGCCCCATGGGGCCGGCAGGGCCTGGTCCCCCAGGGCCTGGTCCGACTGGGCAGAGGGGACCCTGGAAGAAGGAGAAGTGAACGAGATCAGTGGAACAGGAGGAGGAGCTGGGCCCAGGTGCCCAGAACCCCTCTTGAGCTGAACCCACCTCGATCTTCTCCTCAATGAGCTGCTTGGCATGGTCGATCTGCTGGGGTGAGCCCCGGATGATGAACAGCTTGAAGTTGGGGTCTCCGTTGGGTGGCAGCTGCCGAGATATCTCTACAAAGGCGCCTGTCTGCTGGTTTATGGCTTTCACATTCTCGCCGCCTGCAGGAGCCATGGGCAGTGAGCGGAGACCAGGAGGAAAGCAAGGGGAGGGGTGAGGCCTGTGGAGGAGCCACTCACCTCGGCCGATGACCAGCCCGCACTTGTGCGTGGGGATGGAGAAGGTCATCTCCCCACCTGGAGGGCCCCAGTTGCCTTGGCCCCTACCTCGACCTCGGCCTCCTGGGGGCATACCAGGACCCCCTGGAGGGCCTGGGGGACCACTCTGCAGGGCAGAGAAGAGATAGGATGGTTAATGCAGGCAGCCAGCCTGCCCTCCCACTTGAGCCCGCCCACTCAGCACACCCGACATCACTCACCCTGAGGCTTTGGAGGAGGTCATTGATAATCCGCGCCGCGTGCTCACACCGGTCTGGGGGTCCCATGATGTGCGCTATCTTCTCAGGACCTGTCCCATCGTCTGAGGCAGCACAGGAGAGCCAAAAAACAGTTACAAGAGATGCACAACTCCGAACCCCCAACGCCAAGCCCCGTCTGGAACATGTCTAAGTGCCGCTGGCTGCCTTTCACGTGTTCAGGAGCAGGTGAGGATCCCTCCCGCACTTGGTGCCCCCGGAACTAGCAGACGCGCCTGGCAGAACCTAGAACTGACAACAAATCTCTCAAAAAGCACGGGCAGTCCGTCCTCCCCTAAAACCACTGGACTGGGCAGACGCCCACGGCTGGGGCCTCAGAGCTGATCTCACCCAGGGGCACAGGTGGCCTGTCAAGAGAGCCCTTGAGAGGAGAGGGAGAGGACAGCTTGGCAGGAGAGGAAAACACACTCCTCTTCACCTCGGGAAGCCTGCCTGTCATTCACTTTCTTACGGGGCTGCCCCAGAGGGGGACAAGGCACGTCCTGCTGGTCTAGGAGTAACAAGGCACTGCAGACGCTAACCCCAGTGTCAAGCTGCCCGTCTTGGACCCCCAAAAGTGAGTCTCAGCAGATCCCAGCTGGCCCCTGACCTTGTTTAAACTGTATCCGAACACCAGCGTCATTCTGGATCTTCTTGATCATCTCCCCACTCCGGCCGATGACCACACCCACAGAATGCCTGGGCACTGGCACCTGAGGGCGGCCAGGACAAAGGAGGATCAGCTGGGCTTTGTCACTGTCTGCAGTCCCCCTGCTGCCCGCAAGCCAGCCACCACCCCTGCCGCTCCATCCACCCAAGAGGCCCGCACTCACATCGATGCCCCCACCGATCCGGGACCCATACTCGTTCCGGTCTCCAAAGCCACCCTGGTCACGCTCCCGCAGGATGTCCATCACCATCTCACAGGCTTGCTGTGAACATACAAAGTGTGGTGCTCGCACGAACACTGCTGCCCCACTGCATGCTCCAGGGTCACAGGCCAGAGCTAAGGACCAATGCAAGCTGCCTGGATCTTTACCCACTGCCCTAAGAGGCGGACATGGTGAGCACCCCAGCTTTCTGGACTGAGGCCAGTGGAAGCCACCTGCTCATGCACAGACGGCTGGGAGGGAGCTCAACAGACAATGAGTCCAGGGCTGACTTCAGAGCCAGTGCTCTAGAAAATCTCTCCACTTGCATCCAAATCTCCAGCCTATCCACTGCCCTCTCTCTGCTCCCCAGAACCACCCCCTTGGCCCTGGGGCGCCCACCTGCACTTTGTAAGGGTCTCCGATGATCCGCAGCGGTTTGTCCACATTCGTGTTCTGGGAGCCATCCTGGATTAAAATCATCTTCACTCCAGCCCGTTCCTGTATAACCAAGGTGACGTCAGTGCTGAGCCCTCCAAAGACTTCCTGGGGCGGGGGTCATGCCTGGTCCAAAAGGACGAAGGGCTCTGGCTTGGGGGCGGAGGGGCGGGGGTGCTGTGGCCTGCACAGGCACAGCTGCGGGAAGGAGGCTGTCCTGGGACGGGACGGGAGGAGCCTTCACCCTCACCTGCAGCTGCTTGATGGTCTCCCCGCCTTTGCCAATGACCAGGCCGGCCTTGCCCGCGGGGATCATGATTTCCTGCACTGTGCCGTTCTGGCCCCCATTGGCATTGTCATGGAACTGGCCAGGGGGCCCCCCACGACCCCGGGAGACAATGTCGTCCAGCATCATCTTCGCTTTCCTGGAAAGGGGAAGAACAGGTGCTCTCTGAATGCTTGCCTGAAGCCTCAGCCCCGCTCCCAGAAAAGGGGGTTCCAGACCGCAGGCCTGACAGAGGGCCCGTCCCCAGGGCTGGGGCTATTCTGGGCCAGGTTCCCCAGATCTCAGGAGACTCACTGTGTTAAGCAGCCCCCAGAGCAGGGAGGGCATGAGGAACATGGTGTGGGAGTCACCCTCAACTTCAAAGGTGGGCTTTGCCCACCCACTTTGTCATGATGACAGGCCCCGCCAGAGACTTACTGCACAGACTCCGGGGCTCCTGTCAAGGACACACTGCGTTCAGGTAGGCCACCGCTGTCTGCAGAGGAGAGGAGAGAGGGTCAGTGCTTTCTTGAGTCAATGCCTTGGGCAGACAACCAGGAGGACCTTCCATGGAGTGAGACTTCCAGGAACAATCGACAACTACTTCTGCCACTGTACGGCACCCTGACAAATCAATTTACCTCCCCAAACACTTGGGAGGGTGCTCTCTGGACGGCCAAGATCAAGAAGCTTTAAGATCAGCAGAGGAGGCAAAACTTCTAGTGAAAAGATAATATGGAAGGAGAAGCAGATTCCAGAAGGTCCCAAACTGGGCCCCTTCCATCACCACCCATATGAGCACCTTCCAGTCAATGAACTACATGTCAGGCAGGGAAAGCACTCAGAAACCCCTGCAAATCAGGTAACTGCCAAGGCGCAGGCAGGACTGGATTTAAACCAGGCCTGACCTCAAGGCTGTCCTTCCTAAGGAGCGCCCCTGCCTCACACTTTCCCACAGGTGTTGGAGCTCAGGTGGCAACACAGTCAGAGCGGGATCTGGGGTGTGGCTCCCTGAACTGGATTCTAGCCCTCCCCGCTCAGGGAAAGCAGACGGAGACAAGAGTTGCAGCTACACATTGTGGCGCTGTGCTGAGGCGGCACACAGCATGCTCAGTAACACCAGCCCACTTCACCTCCGTCCCATTGCGGCTGTCAGGGGATCGATCATGAGAGAAAGCACCAAGAGCCCCAACACAGTCACTCATCCCCATCCAGCTCTAGTGCCCCTACCTGGAGAGATTTGGACTTTGCAGCCTGAGTCCTGCTGGATTTTATTAATCTGCTCACCTCCTCTGCCAATGACTGGGTGGAGAAAAAGAAGAAGAGCAGAGATAGATGGGGGGAGGCTGGCGCTGAGAGCCCCCCTGCCCAGATGGATGGATGAGAGAGTAAACACAAAACAGCTCCTTCAAAATAAAAGAAAAAAACAACAAAAACGAAAAACAAACAAAAATCACACAACACAACAGGGTCCTTCAGTGCTCCTGCGGCCTCTTATGCTTCTGCACAGCCCCTTCTGGTGCCCCTCACCAGATCTCTGAGCTGGGTTGGGGGGTTGTCCAGGGAATCACTCCCCATTCCACTCATCCTTTCCTGCACCTGCCCCAGAGCCTGGGCCTTGGTCAGAGGGGTAGAGGGAGGAGACATCAGTAGGAAAAAAAATATCAACAGACTCATCTTTGGGATTTCCAACCACAAAAGAAACTACATGCAAATATCTATCTCCACTGTTAAGTAATGAGGGGAAAAAAAAATAACTGGCTCTTTCAGACCACAGGTCTCAGGGTTGGCAGGTGCTCTCCTGAGAGACTGCCCTTGGGGGGACACAGGGCAGGGGTTAATGGGCACCCACTGGGTCACAGTGGCCCACACTCACTTAGTCCCACCATGCCGTCTGGGACCCGGTACTCTTCTGTCATTGAAGTCCTACAAAGAGAAACAATGAGAGTCAGCCTCAAGTCAGGAAGCAGCAGAGGGGATGGAAGAGCCAGAAGGCCTCCTGGAAAAAAGACCCTCAAAACCAGAAGTCCTGCTTCTTGCAACATGGGGACCAAGTCGCCACACGCCTAAGCAGACTCTGACAAGGGCATGGGGGCTCCCTCACACCACAGCAGACCACCCAACCTCTGGGGGCCTCCGTTTCCCACTCTGGGCCACAAGAGGCTTAGCCTGGTGTGGCGTGACCCCCTGGACCAGTGCTGCCCACCAACTCAGGGCAAGAGAACCTGGGACACTTTCACAGCAATCTGACAGCGTCATCCAATACCTATAGATTCTAACTTAACAAAAGTCGGTTTTGTATCATTTTCATTTCATTCTTCTAGTGAGTTGTTTTTACTGCATTTCACAAAATTTTAGCCAATAGTAAAGAAAAGAACATGGTCCTTCAGAGAGAATGCTCTAAGGTAAAAAGGTAGGAAAGGAATACACCCCCACCCCAGCTCTCAGGGAAGAAGAATCCGCAGAAGCAGGTGAGAGATCAAGGCCAGTCCCCAGTCTTTTCCAGGAGAAAGGACGGCAGGGCTTCTGAGTATCCCCATCCAACAAAGGAAGCAAAGGGGCGCAGAGAACCCCCTTCCCCATTACAGCTAACAGCCACAGCCCTATGCTCCCTATGGCCCCACAGACAGTGAGTAGGAAGGACAAACGAAGCTCCTTCTGCCTTTCAGTCTTCTCCTTGGTTGACCAGAGAGTAAGACAAAGCCCTGTACAGCCCAGCACCCAGACAGAGCCCTCCCTCCAGTCAGCAAGAAAGGCCAGAGACAACAAGGAAACGACTTGCTCTCCAAACCATCACTTACCTGGGGGGAGGATGAATGGGCCCGAGTTGAGAACTCATGGCTGCAAAGAGAAAACCCAAAGGACAAATTGGCCCGGCTCCTCTCTGGGACCCCAAACACCATGTGCTGGGCACTCCTGCCATGCAAGGGACCACAAACTACATCACAATGCCTCTGAGCCTCCCTGAGCAAGCGCAATGGGGCCACCTCACAACAGCCATGCTCGGAGGTGGCTGCCTCACGATCCAGGCTCTGGGGTCTCATGGGCCCTGGAGGGACACCAAGAGCCTCCATAAAGGAGAAGTGCTGTCTGCTCAGTACTTCCAGCTCCCCTCTGGAGAGTACTTCCTGCTAAAACCTCTTAAGATCCTGAAGTGGCCTCTGCCGGTGTCACCAAGTGGACTTACAGTCTCCCTGGGAAGCCAGCTTCTTGCTCTCTGGTTGGTCTGTGAAAAGAAAGAGGATGTCAGATGCAGTGCCCACCCACCCACAGCTGCCTCAAATCTGATGCTGGTGCCACATGTCCTAGCAAACAAGCCTCCTGCCCCCCACCCTCAACATCAAACACAAGACAGGAGAATAAGAGACCTACTCTCACCACCAGCACTCAGGGATAAAGAGCCCTTTATAACAGGGGGAAAATGATGGTGACCCCAGTACTTCCAGCTCACGCCCAAATCTGCCTTGGGGAAGGCAGGCTGATCAGTGAGTTGATAGTTTAGGCTGCACGCCTCCGGGTCAGCCACAACGCACTGACATGGGACCTGAGGGGAACCCTAGCTTAGCAGAAGAGGAGGAACAACCTTGAAAACTTACGCCCTGGACCTGGTCACAATCAATCTGCCCTCCTCTCAGCCACCTGATACCTCAGGACGGCAGCCCGGACAAAAAGAACGAACAAAGCTGGGACTGCTGAGGTTTTAAAACACCAAATGGCAGCGGGCTCCCCTCACTTTGAAACACATTCCAACAAAGGCACTTCACTCTCTGCCCCCAGCCCTTCCAGCAAGGCAGGTAGTTACCTCCATCTTCTAACTGCCTCTTTTGGCCCCCAAAACCAAAATCAGGAGTGCTGTTATTCACTGTGGTAGCTGCGTCGCCTCCAATCTTGGCTGCGATCTAGAAGTGAAGTTGTGAGCAGAGAAGAATTACACTCAAAGCCAGCCTCCGTGGTGCTCAGGTCAACCTTTCACCTCTTTGGTTCATGAATGCCCAACAGGTCTTGCTGTCTGGCCTGGGAGTGGCATTCCCTGGATTTAGGGATGAGCCTGTTGGCTAAGGCTTCCCTGATGGCTCAGCTGGTAAAGAATCTGCCTGCAATGTGGGAGACCTGGGTTCGATCCCAGGATTGGGAAGATCCCCCGGGGAAGGGAACGGCTACCCACTTCAGTATTCTGGTCTGGAGAATTCCATGGACTGTACAGTCCATGGTGTCGCAAAGAGTCGGACATGATTGGGCGACTTTCACTGTTGGTTAAGACATTTCTAGGAGTTTCCACCCAAGGCTTCAGAGTTCCAGAGTTATTCAGGAATTTCAAAGAAGCTCCCTTTCTCTATCAAATTTGGGCCTAAACTGTTCATGGCCAGAGGGTAACCCACACTGATTTGTTCTAGGGATGAAAGGAGCAAAAGTTCAGGTGCCCTCCACCAGGGAGAGCCTCTAGACACTTCCTTGCCCAAGCACCCGGGCCTCTGGGATGCTCAAGAGCACACCCTCAAAATCTTTCCATTTGTTGAACAAATCTCAGGGAAGTTTGCTTCAAGGCATCTGAAACCCTCATCTAGACCAAAAGAAAAGGCCCTTTTCGGAACACGTGTTACATTTTGGACACACAAACAACGCTGAATAAACCCCAACACAATAAATTTAAAACCAGGGTATGGCATTAGGATTACTACAAGTTTTCCAAAGACACACAAACCATGAGCTGAGGATCTATATTTTAACCTCTCTAAAACTTCAACCAAAAACTTGGAGCCTAAACTCTTGGGATGCCCATATGGTGTCTTATCCCAATCAAACACAGAGCACCACCTCCCCTTGTTTTAGCTGCTTCTCAATTAAGCCAGGGAGGGTGGGGGAGTGAGGGGTCAATCATATCAACTGCACCTAAGAACTCTATCTCATGTCTAGGGTGAAAGCCACAGACCACACTGGGAGGGGAACAGGGCGTTCCCCTAATGGGACCTCCCTGTGGTGGAGGCTTTGGGGGCAATTCTGACTGAGAAAGCGCTCAATGGCCTGAGCCAGGTCAGTTTCCTTCTGAAAGGGCGGCAAAGTCCTCTCTTTCTATGGACCTCTTCCCCTCAGGCCGTGGGGCACCGGGGGAGGTCACACATCAGCATGTGAAACTCCCATGTAGTCATCACGCCCTAGAACACAGCGGTGGGACCCTTCCCTTCTTTCCCCAGAAGAGAAATAGGGTGCTTGCAAGTGACCTGAAGCATCAGAAAGAGTCAGTCCCTAGGCCTACCCTCCCCATTTCAACGAAACGCTTAGCCACTGCCTGGCAGCCACAGGGTCCCCTCTTTACTTTCCAGGTTCAAAAGGAAGGACTTTTCTAACCCTCTGAAGTCCCTCCTTCCTGGAGACCAGGAAGAAAAGGGACCAAGTTGGGAGCAAAGAGGGCTCTTTGCCCTGATGGGGAGGTGGGAGCACAGAAAGACCTTCCCGGGAAGGCGGAACCCCTGCTTCTAGGAGTAGGGAGTGTCCTAAAGAGTGGGAACCCCAAAGTGAGTCCCCACGCTGCAGGGGACCCTGCACACTCTGGTGCCGCTTTTGGGTGACCCCTCCCAGACGACCCTTCCCCCCTGTAGGGGGTCACCCCCAGGGGGAGTGCCCCATACCAGGCTTCTGGGGACGCCCCGGCCCCCGCCTACCGCCCCACGTGACCCCGTGGCGGCCCCGGCCCCCCCCTTGCGACCCCGCGCGCGCGCACGTGACCCCGCCCCCTCCCCCGCCCGCCCGCGCGCCCCTCGGGCCCGCGGCCTCCTCACCTGGCGGGCCCGCTGCACGGCGTCTGCGAAGGCGTCCTTGCGGATTCCCGGGCCGCCCCCGCCGGGTGGCTGCGAGGGGCCACCGGCCGACCCTCCGCCCGGGCCGCCGCCGCCGGGGCCGCCGCCGCCCCGGTCCCCCGCTCCCGGCGGGCCCGGTGGCGGGCCTCCCCCGGCGCCCCCGGCTCCTCCGGACCCCCCGCCCCCGCCGGCGGGTGGCGGCGGCCCGGGCGGGGGTCCTCCCGTGCTGTAGTCCGACATGGCGCGGCGGGGCCGGGCCTTACGCGGAGGCTGAAGCTGTGGAGGAGGCGGCGGCAGCGGCGGCTCAACGCGGGAACAAGGCCTCGCTCCACACGGCCGCGGAGCACTCTGGGAAGCCAGCGGCTGGGAAGACGATGCGGGGAGGGGGGGTGGGCGGCGGAGAGGGACGCCCCCCGGCTTGACGGACGGCCCCGCCGGGCCAATGGGAGGTGGTCGCCATTCCCGGGACACCAATCACAGGCTCTGGAGGCGAGCGGCCAATCGGAGTGCCGCGAGAGGCAGTGGGCGGGAGGTACCGCGAGATCGACAGCTCTGGGAGGCAATGGGCTGCAGGCTGACGGCTTTGGGCGGGCAAACTGAGGCGACCGAAGGAGGCCGAAGGCCCAATGAAGCGGGAGTTACAGAATCGCGGGGCGGCTTCTGAACCGGATTGACGGCTCCTAAGAGTCAAGCGGACAGGAAGGAGGAGTCTGGCGAAAGACTTCTTTGAACGGGCTGGGTGGGCGTTCAGTGAGATTGTCGTGTAGGCAAGCCAATGGGTACACACGGAAGGCGGCCTTTACAGAGATTGGCAATTATTTTAAGCCAATTTCTGGCGAGGTCGGTGTGATGCGCTTGCGTTTGGACTGAGTTACTTTAGCGTTAACCAGAATCCATTTCTAGTCCCGTCGTCTAAGCCAATGGCTGAGTGGCGGGGGCGGGTGTAAGGTGACTGACCTCACCCTAGGCAAATAATAATGAAGGAAATGGAGGTGCCCCGTTTTGGTGGGAGCTAGAGGAAGCGCCGCTGCATTGGGGCGGAGCCAGCCACCAGACGCCGGGAGGGGATTAGCCGGAACCGGATTGAATGGCAGCCGACGTGGGCATTGGCCACCGGCTGCAGGAATTCAGGCCTGACGTCTGGGTTAGAGTCCCCGGAGGCCGGCCGGGTAAGCCAGGCACGTGGCCTGCTTGAGGCCTTGGAGACGGGTGCTTCCGGGGGTGGGGTGGCCGCAAAGCAAAAGGAAACTCAGGGATCCTCTCATACCCTCTCCTCTTTCCATCCAGGGATCTAGAGTCTTTACTTCTCTTCCAGAACGCATGGAACCGGCTCTCCTACCAACTCAAGGGTCTAGATTTCCTCCCAGGACCGAGGGATCCTAGACTCTTTAATTCGACACCCTACATCAGCTTCACATAAGGTTCTTGGATCCGAGCTCCAATTGCTTCTCGGCCTTTTGGCTAAGATCAAGTGGATCCGAGCTCCAAGCTCTTATCTAGGCCCTCAGTTTATTTTCTGGACCCAGGCATCTTCAAGGCTTCCAATTCCCGTTCAAGACTAAGAGGCCCAAGCTACTCCCGCCCCCCCCCCACCCCCCACAGGACCCAGGTATCCAGATGCCCAGCTGCCCTCCTGAACCCAGATATTCCAGACACGGCCAGCAGAAACCATCTGTTTATTCCTCATTGTCTCCACATTCACCCTTTTGCCATGGAATCAGGACAAGTCGCAGCAAGCCAAACTGGAGTCCAGACTAGTCCCAGGCTGCACCCAGGAGAGGAGGCACCAGGAATTTTCTGACCCAGGCAATCAGCCTGCTTCTCCTGACAAGTCTGCCCCTCGGTCCCGAGCCTGGAAGGCCCTTTGGGGCCAGGGGACACTGGATCTTCCCCTCCATTTCTGCCCAGGGTATGTCGCCTAGTTCACTGCTTATACTCCCAGGGTCTTCTTCATGGTTTCAAACACCACGTAGCTGATGCCGCCTGCAGGCAACACCTTCAGTAATGTGGGGGTCATGCCTCGGTATAGCCCTGGCCAGCCCTGCTGGGCCAGGATCCTCCGGAAGACTCCACACATGGTGGGGTTCGAACCCTCCACAGTGTCTGTGGGAACAGAGGCAAGCTCAGGGCCTGGGCCAGAGATGACTTGGCATCAAGGGGTGGGGGTGGGGAGTGGGGAGCTGGAATGTTGGAAGGTGGGGACTGAAGCCAGGAGCAGAGGGTCTAGGGTGTTAGCGGAAAAGAAGCTTGGAAGCCTTTCAGAGGAAATTGGTCAGTTTACAGAGAGTGAGGAATTTTCAGGATTTGTTTTAGGAAACATCTTAGAAAACATTGCAACTTCAATATTCATTGGAAGGACTGATGCTAAACTGAGGCTCCAGTACTTTGACCAACTCATTGGAAAAGACCCTGATGCTGGGAAAGATTGAGGGCGGGAGGAGAAGGAGGCAACAGAGGCTGAGATGGTTGGATTGGCATCACCGACTCAATAGACATGAGTTTGAGCAAACTCCAGGAGATGGTGAAGGACAGGGAAGCCTGGCAGGCTGCAGTCCATGGGGTCACAAAGAGTCACAACTCTTTGTGGGGTCACAACTTAGCGACTGAACAGCAACAAAGATCTGTTAGAGCTTTGCAGTGTGCTAAGGGGTAGTTTGGGGACATTTTCAAGATCAAGGTGGTAAGCTAAGAACCTGTTTGGGTATTTGAGGATTTGTTTAGGAGTTTGAGAGCACATTTGTGGGAGGCACATTTGGGGAGTTCCCAGGATACTGGGGGAGGTGGTTATGAGTTTGGGAATGTCTATGTCAGTTTTCGAAAATTTAGGAACCATTTGCCTTTTGGAGCCAGATGAGGCCTGAGTCTGATTTGGACAAGTTGGGGGGTCATTTGGGGACTATATGTCTTGAGGTCAGTATGGGGGCCTGAGTCACATTCAAGGAGGTTTGTGGGAGTCCTTTGGGAGCTGGGTGTTCACTTTAGTGATATGTAGGGTTACTTGAAGGGACTGTGATCAGGTTTGGGGGTGAGTGTAAGTTTGGGTGGGTTCAGGGGTTAGCAAAGATGGCCAGGATCAGATATGGAGAGTCCAGGAGTCAGTTTGTGTGTGTGTTGGAGGGGTGATGAGAAAGTTCAGAGAGCAGAGGCAAGGGGTGGTGGTACGCAAGGTTGCCAAAAGGGCCAGGCTGACCTTGAGCTTGCATCCTGGTGCGCACCAAAGTCAGCGGGTAACTGGCCATCTGTCCACAAGTGGTGGACAGTGTCACAGACGACAGACTGACCAGGCCACTAGGGTCCTTCATGTCCTTGCCTGACTTCAGCCAAAGACACCTGAGCATCTAGGAGAGAAGAAGGCCAGGAGGAAGCTCTCCATGGGCCTGGGTTCACACCGCCCCTGCCACCCCCTTTGCGGGACCCACACCTCATAGACGGCCAGGTCGGTGCAGGCATACGGGATGATGCCGAGCATGTTGGGGAGGTATCCGCGGTAAAGGGCACGGGTGCCCTCCTGCTCCAGGATCTGCCTGGCACAGTCCAGCAGCCCCTTGTACTGGCCAGTCCGGCGCAGGGTCAGCCGCGTCTTCAGCACCTGGGGAGGATGAGGAGTAAGGCAGCTTATTTGAGCTAATCGTCTCAATGACCCCCCCCCCCCCCCCCCCCCCCCCCCCGGCACAGGAGGCAACTGCTCAAGAATGCACACAGCTGGGTTTCAAACCCAGCTGCCTCGGCCTGTAAGTGCTCTCAAAGGGTGAGGGAGGGATTGCGTCGGCAGTTCAGTGGTTAAGACTCCATGCTTCCACTGCAGGGGATACAGGTTTGATTCCTGGTTGGGGAACTTAAGGGGGCTTCCCAGGTGGCGCTAGTGGTAAAGAACCCGGCTGCCAACACAGGAGACATAAGAGATGCAGGTTCAATCCCTGGGTCAGGAAGATCCCCTGGAGAAGGAAATGGCAACATGCTTCAGTATTCTTGCCTGGAGAATCCCATGGACAGAGGAGCCTGGTGGACCACAATCTATGGGGTCCCATAGAGTCAGACACAACTGAAGAGACTTAATATGCACTCAAGGGGAACTAAGATCCTGCGTGTTATGAGATACAGCCAAGAAAATTAATAAAACTGAAAAAAAAAAAAAAGGATGAGAGAAGTGATGTGAGCTGAGTGGGGTCTGCAGTGGCCCTAACCCAGCCAAACTTGCCCTACCTGGACCCCAGGTAGGCAGATCTGCCAGTTTTCCCAAAGAAGCCAGAAACTGGAGTTTTTATGAAATGCCCCGACATCAAAATGTTGGCAACTCAACAGTTGTGGAAGACAGCACACCGTGTGTGGTAGGCAAAATTGTCAGGTGGTCCCCATGGTTCCGGTCCCCCTATTACACATGCTTTGTTTAATGGCCTCCCTTTGCCCTTGAAAACGGTCTATACCTGTGAGCGTGATGGACTGTGACTCTCTTGGATCAGGGTACGCAAAGCACAAAGGAAGAGGGATTTTGCAGATATAATAAAGCCCCTAACCAGTTAACTTTATTTTTTAGATTTTTTTAATTGGCATATAATTGCTTTACAATGCTGCCTTAGTTCCTGCTGGACAGTGAAGTGAATCAGCTTTACATGTACATATATTCCCTCCCTCTTGGATCTCCCTCCCACCTGCCCCCATCCCACCCATCTCCATCACAGAGGTGAGCTTCCTGTGTCACCGGTTGACTTAAGTTAATCAAGAGAAATCATCCTGGGTGGGCCTCACTCAATCAGGTGAGCTCTTTAAAAGAGTCAGAAGAAGAGACTGAAGGTTCAGAAACAGTTTTGGATTGGTGTTTTATATCTTGGCCATGCTTCTCGGCTCGCAGGATGTTAGTTCCCCAACCAGAGACTGAACTCAGGCCCGTGGCAGTGAAAAAAGTGTGGAATCCTAATCGTTAGACTGTCAGGAAGCTCCCTAGGGTTGGTCTCAAACAAACTGTTATGGAGAGGACCACATGGCAGGGAACAGTGGGTGGCCTCTGGGAGTTGAGGACTGTCAGTCCTGCAACCATAAGAAACAATCCTGGTAATAACCAGGGAGCTTGGCCGAGGACACCCGAGCTTCAGATGGGTTCATTGGTAGCCCAACCGACTGACACCTTGATTTCCACCTGATCAAATCCTGAACTGAGGACCCGACTAGCCAGTGCCCAGACATGACCCACGGAAACAATGAGATAATAAATCTGTATCATTTTAAAAGCTCTTGAGTGTGGTAATTTGTTATGTAACAATCAAAATAAAAACACAGATGCAAACTATTATATATAGAATGGTAAAGAAGGTTCTATTGTATAGCACAGGGAACTTTATTCCATATTCTTTAATTAACCCTAATGGAAAAGATATATTTTTCTTTAATGTATTTATTAAAAATTGCATATTTATGACTGAATCACCTTGCCATGCAGGAGAAATTAACACAACATTATAAATCAACTAATTTCAAAAACAAAAACACGAAGAAACTCAACCAGACAAGGGCAAGAATTATGTGAAGAAAGCTTTAAAAGACTGTTTAGGGGACAAAAAAGGAGACTTGACCAAATGGATGTATTCTTGGATATGTAGACCCAATATTGTATAGAAAGTGAAAATGAAAATTTTAGTTGCTCAGTCATGTCTGACTCTGCAGCCCCATGGACTGTAGTCTGTCAGGCCCCTCTTCCATGAAATTCTCCAGGCAAGAATACTGGTGTGGGTTGCCATTCCTTCCTCCAGGGGATCTTCCCAATCCAGGGATCAAACTTGGATCTCCTGCATTGCAGGCAGGAGCCACTAACTGAGCCACCAGATGGCAATAATCTCTAATCTCATTTGAGTTTAGAGTAAATGAGTAAAAAACAAATACCAATGTGTGATTTTGTTTTCTGAACAAGGCAGATTACTTCTAACGTTTTGAAAGGAAAAAAAAAATCAATGGAGAATAGCCTGGAAGACTAATAAGAGAAGGGATAGAGAAAAATAAGACATATTCAAGCCTCAAAAATGAAAGACTGGGCTGGGACTTCCCTGGGTGTCCAATGGTTAAGACCCTAATCCAACGTAGGGGGCGAGCATTCAATACCTTGTTGAACATATGCCACAGGGTGCTGCCAAAAGAAAAAAAGGGGGCAAAACTACATAGACAGTAACATGATCAGTGGTTGTTAGGGACTGGAGGAAGGAGGGAAAGGTGGGTAAGTGTAGTACAGTGACTTTTTAGGGCAGTGGAATTTTTCTGCATGATGCTATTATGGTGGCTGCGTGTCACACGTTTGTCAAAACCCATAGCAAGTCACAACACCAAGGGTGAACCCTGATGTCAACCATTGGCTTTAGTTAATAATAATGTATCAATATTAGCTCATCAATTGTAACCAATGTACCACCCAAATTCAAGTTGTTATTGATAGCGGAGACTTGGTGTGTAAGCCAAGATATATATGGGAACGCTCTTGTCCTTTTTACCTAATTTTTCTGTAAACCTAAAACTGTGCTACAAAATAAAGCCTACTCATTAAAAAAAAATTAGAAGATTATTTAAAAAAAAATTAGAAGTGCATGAAGAGAACCTGAGTGTCAAGAAAAGAAACAGTGAAAGTGTTAGTCAGTCATGTCCAACTCTGCAACCCCATGGGCTGTAGCCCACCAGGCTTCTCTGTCTATGGGGATTCTCCAGGTAAGAATACTGGAGTGGGTTACTATTCCCTTCTCCAGGGGATCTTCGCAACCCAGGGATTGAACCCAAGAAGAAAAAGTTCAGAAATAAACCCAGGGACTTCCCTGGTGGTCCAGTGGTCTGGCTTCTACTGCAGGGGGCACAGGTTCCATCTCTGGTGGGGGAACTAAAGATCCCACGTGTCAGGTGATATGGCAACAAAACAGAACAAACGAACCCCACCAAAACAAATATACCAAGGTATATAGGAATTTGGGGTTTCCCCAGTGGCTCAGCAGCAAAGAATCCACCTGCATTGTAGGATCTGCAGGTTCAATCCCTGGGTCGGGAAGATTCCTTGGAGGGGGATCTACCCCCGCCAAGTATTCCTGCCTGGAGAATCCCCACGGACAGAGGAGCCTGGCAGGCTACAGTACTTGGGGTTGCAAGGAGTTGGACACGACTGAAGCAACTGAGCATGTGTGCATATAGGAATTTAGTAAATTACAGTGTTGGCATCTTGGGTCATTGGTGATGGAGAGGAGAGGACCCATTCAGTAGTGTTGAGATGACTGGGTAAGCCATCTGGAATACAACTTTGATACGTGTCTTACATAAAGAGGAGGAGGAGGGGGCAGGGAAGGAGGAAGCCATAGCAGCTGCCACCCAATCATCTTGTTTCATCTTCTATGGGGCAGATACTCTTACCTCCATGGGGTTGATGAGCGTCTGGGAAGTGGCCACAGCCAGAGAGCCAGCAAGGAGACGTTCCTGAAAGGGTGGGGACTCGTGCACTCCGCAGAAGTAGTTTTTACACTGGGATGGGAGAAAGGAATGTGAGAACTAGCCTCCTTTCCTTCCTGAAACTCACCCAGGGGAAGAGGTGTGGGACCTGGAGGATGAAAATATGTCTTGGGAGCTTCTCTGGTGGCTCAGTGGTAGAGAATCTGCCTGCCAATGCAGGAGATGGGGGTTTGATCCCTGATGCGAGAAGATTCCACATGCCTCGGGGCAACTAAGCCCAGGCGCCACAACTACTGAGCCTGTGCTTGAGAGCGCGGGAGCCACAACTACGGAAGCCCGTGCCCTAGATGGGGCTCACTCTGCAACAAGAGCCCTAGAGCCCTTACTCTGCGATAAGAGAAGCCACTGAAATGAGCAGTCTGCACACCACAACTAAAGAAAGCAGAGGAGCCTCCACTCGCCACTACTAGAGAAAGCCCATGCACAGCAACGAAGACCCAGCACAGCCAAAAAGAAATACATTAAAATTCTTTTTTTAAAAGTATGTTTTGGATAAACATCTGGGCTTTAGGGGGTCGTGGGTACTCGGAGAGGTGACAGCTTGAGGGTGGGACTGGAGAAAGCAGACCATCCCCTCCCTACCCACCTGTTCAAAGACAGAGAACTTGATGGCGTACTCTGGAGCAATCTTGAGCACGTTGATACCATTGCCCCTCCAGAGTGAACGGATGCCCCCTTCCTGGATCAAGCTTCGGAGACCTCCCAGCAGATTCATGAAATTCTTCTTGGAGGAGTAGACCTGGAAATATGGAGCCCCTGTCAGCCCTCTGAGGAGCCCTTCACCTCATCTCCATTCAGCCCCCATCTTTTTTGGGGGGGGGCATGTGGGACCTTCGTTCCCTGCTAAGTCACTTCAGTCGTGTCCAACTCTTTGCAACTCTATGGATTATAGCCCGCCAGCTGTCCATGGGATTCTCCAGGCAAGAATACTGAAGCAGGTTGCCGTTTCCTTCTCCAGGGGATCTTCTCAACCCAGGGACTGAACCCGCCTCTCTTATGTCTCCTGCATTGGCAGGTGGGTTCTTTACCACTAGTGCCACTTGGGAGGCCCTGACCAGGGATCAAACCTGTGCCTCCTGCAGTGGGAGCACGGAGTCCTAACCACTGTCGCGCTGCCAGGGAAGTCCTGCCCCTTCTAACTCCAACTCCACTCTCAACCCCACCCTTGTCTCTCTTTCCGATTTACATACTCACCCCCTCCCTGAACTCCATCAGCTCCACTCCCATCCATCCACACCCCAATGGCCCCCGTGCCGTGGTCCCCACACACCTGCATATACACCTTGGCACGGTCCAGGGGGGCCGTGCCCGTGCGAGACACTGCCCCAGCCATGGCTCCTGAGAGGAGGAGCTTCCACAAGGCTCCCTCATTATCCACTTCCAGGACGTCCATGGGGACCATCAGCTGCTCCCCTGTATCCAGCACCTGCAGGACAGACCCAGCTCCCACCCACACTCATCCAGGCTGGAGGTCCTTTTCCTGACACATCTTTAGAACCTGCCCTCCCCCTCAGCTCCAGTCCAAGGCTTGCCCTGGTCCCCACAGCTTCCAGGTGGCATTCTACCCAGGCCGGCTTGGAGGGGAGTGGGCCATACAGAGAGGGCGGGCAGGGCGACCTTCTCCCTCTGCAGTCCCAGCTGCAGGGTCTTCAGGGCCTGTGGTTCCCAAGCTCACCTGCTGCGATGGGGGATGCTCCGGTTCTCTTTCCCCCAGGTGCCCAAACACGTACCCGTATACATGGGTACAGCCCAGGTTCCGGGAGGGGGCTGGGGGTGGGGCTGGGGGACAGGTTTTGGTGAAGAAGGCCTTGACCCTCTTAAACAGGTTCTGGACCCGCAAGCTGGGCTTCTGAGCTTGCTCCCGTTGGGCTCCCATCATAGCTGGAGGGTCAGGACACTCAGGCTCAAAGCTCTGGCCAGAAGTTGGCCCATCCAGCAACTGTATGGGAGGGGTGCTTTGTAAATTTGGGTCCCAGGGGATGATAAGGTCACAGTGGTCCTTGTGACCTCACTGCATATGGCAGACAGAGTGAGTGTCTCCTCCCCATCCCCACCAGAGGTCCAGATCACAAACGCTCTAAACCCACGAATGTGTTACGTTATATGGCAATATAAGGGAGAGGGAGTGGATTAGATTTGCAGATAGAATTCAGGTTATTAATCAGCTGATGGGGAGATGGAAAGATGACTCTGGATTCACCCCAGGGGCTCAATGTAATCTTGCAAGTTCTTCAACAGGGAAAAGGGAGACAGAAGAGTCAGTGTTAGAGGGATTGGAGGTGAGAAAGACTCCACAGGCTGTTGCTGACTTTGAGGATAGAGGAAGAAGGCCACCCCAGTTAGCAGATTCTCCCCTGGAGCTTCCAGAAGGGGCCAGCCTTGCTGACAGCCTAATTTTAGCCCAGTGAGCTCCATGTCAGGCTTCTGACCTCCACAACAATGTGTTGTTTTAATCCAGTAAGTTCATGGTCCTTTGTAACAGCAGCCGCAGGAAACGGACACATTGCCTTTCATTGTCATGTCAACAGGAGATGGAAGTGGAGGAGAAGGGGAAGTCTTCAGAGTTCTGAGAGAGAGACACACCGTCAGTCCCTGAAGTGACATGGGCATAGGTTTGGAGTCAGAGGGCCCCGAGTTTGGATTCCATCTCAGACTCTTCTCGCTGTGTGACCTTGGGGTCCCTGCTTTACTTCTCTGAGCTTCAGTTTCCCCATCTGGAGATTGGAAGTCATGATTGGCTCTACCACACAGCATTGTCAATAGGATCCAGTGAGAGCCTTTGTTGGGAGCATCTCCACTGTCCAAATTGTCTGATCAAAACCCCCGATGTCATCCTTGATTCCTCCTTTTCTCTCTTGTGCAGTCTGTCACTACATCCTGTGGGATTAATCTTCAAAGTATATTGAGAATCTGGCTGCTTCTTATCATGTACATGGCTACCACCTTGGCCCAGCCCATTGTCACTTACCTGGACCAGTGCAGTAGCCTGCACCCCCTGTTCCCCAGCTCCAGACCTAACGGTTTAAAGTCTGTCTTCCCTGCAGCGACCACCAGAGGGCGCGCATGAGTACCTGAGTCAGGGCCCACCCCTCCTCCCCGCACAGCCCTCCAGGGCTTCCACCTACCCGCCCAAGTCCTCCTCGCAGCCCACAAAGTCCTGCTCTACTTGCCCCATCCGCTCCCAGCCCTCCCTTCCTCCCTCTCTCCCACTTGCTCACTCCACTGCAAACAGGCCTCCTCGCTGTTCCTCCAACACACCAGGCATGATGCTGCCTGGGGACCTTTGCCCCTGCTGTGCCCTCTGCCTGGGATGCTGTTTCCCTAGGCACCCGCATGGCTCCCTCCCTCACCATTTAAATCTCTTTATTCAAACATTACCTTCTCCTCGACCACCCTTGCTGTTATCATTGTTTAGTCGCTAAGTCGTGTCCCACACTTTTGCGACCCCATGAACTGTAGCCCGCCAGGCTCCTCTGTCCGTGGGATTTCCCAGGCAAGAACACTGGAGTGGGTTGCCATTTCCTTCTCCAGGGGATCTTCCCGACCCAGGGATCGAACCTGCATCTCCTGCATTGGCAGGTGGATTCTTTACCACTGAGCCACCTGGGACGCCCTAAAATAGAATATTACTCAGCCTTAAGAAGGAAGGAGATTCTAACACCTGCTGCAACATGGATGACCCTTGAGGACATGATGCCCAGTGAAATAAACCAGACAGAAAAGGGCACATAATTGCATGATTCCAGTTCTGGAGGTCCCAGAGGAGTCAAATACGGAGACAGGAAGTAGATGGTGGGCCCAGGGGCTGGGGGAGGGTATGGGGAGTGAGTGTTTAATGGGAACAGAGTTTCAGTTTGGGAAAATGAGAAAGTCCTGGAGATGGATGGTGGGGATGGTCGCATGACAGTATAATGTACTTAATATCATAGAACTGTGTGCTTAAAATTGGTTGAAAGAGTACATTTTATGTAATGTGTATTTTACCACAATCGAAAAATATTTAATTTTCTTGTTTTAAGCCTCTTGTTTTTGATACCTTTTTACAGTAGCCCAAGGAAAAGAACACACTTGTGTAATTAGAAAAACATACAGGACAAATTAGGAGGGCTCTTGAATGTGGACTTGCCCCTGCACCCACTTTACAGATGTGGAAACTGAGCTCATGGAGTCATTTCCTGGTCTCCGTGAATGATGGATGACAACCCATATGTCTTCCCTGTGAGTAGTTAGAGGTGCTCCCACATCCACCCACCCCCTTCCAGTAAAAACCACAATGAAAGAGCTTAGAAAATGTATTCCTTTGTTCTTTTCCTTCGAAATAACACGCACAGGCAGGGCACAGGCAGGGAGGTGGGGCGTAGTGTGGGTGGAGGAGGTGGAAGCATAGGGGGAGGGCGTCCTCCCACCCCCCAAACATCCCAGTTCCTCTTTCACAGTCCTTGAATGGGGTTCCCCAAGGACTTGGAAGGAATGGAGAGGGGGCTCCCCAATGATACTAAGTTCAGCGTCCAAATATAAAGTGCAGAAGGTACAGGGTGGGGGGCTGGGGCAAGTGGGGGGATGGGTTGTCAACTCCTCTCTGGTAGAAAAATAGACCTGGAGTGAATCTGGGGGCTTGGGGGGTTGGGTTTACTGCCCCTGGTTTCCAACTCTGAAGTCAGGGGAGGGGCTGGCAGTGCTGGGGCGTGTGTGCGTGTGGGGTCCCCTTAATGTGATCCCAGCTTCAGATTGCCTGCTTGCCGGCCGAAGAGAGAGGGAGCCAGGCTCCGGGGATTGTGGTCAGCCTAGAGGTGGGAAGAGGGTGTGAGACCAGCAGAGTGCGGGAGGAGCACTTGAGCATGCCATTCCCCGCGCCCCAACCCTGCCCCAGGCCTAGGGGCATGTCCGTGCTGGGGAGCTGGGGGTCCGGCGTCCGTGCAGGGCCTGGGCGGGATGTCTCCTCCCCTTGCCAGCATCAGGTGGGTCAGGACAGTGGGCACATCCTGTGGGTTTTCAGGCTGGGAGGCTGGGACCTGGGCTTCCTGCAGGCTCCAGAGACTGTGGGGTTTGTGCCATGGGGGAAGGTCTCTGGTGTGTCTGGAACGGGAGTGTGGGATCCAGGGTGCTGACTGGCCTAGTGGGAGCTAGCTGGGGGCTCTGAGCTTTCAAGGTCCAGTGCCTGGGAGGGTTCAGGTCGGAGATCAGGGGTTAAGGGTTGGCATCCAGTGCCTAGAGGTGGCAGGGTCTGCCTCTTATGGGTGAAGCCTTAACATCCAAGGCCTGTGGTGCAGGGACCTGGGGTCCTACAGCTGTAGTCGCCTGGAACCGCTCCTCTGCCATCGGGCTCAAGAGACTGTGGTTTGAGGAGTGAGGATCTGGCAGGTCAGGGCTTGGGAATCTGGGGTCCGTGGTTGGGGGTGTTGAGGGAATGATGCTTGAAATGTGGGGATCAGGGAGTTGAAGCAGCAGGATCTGGGACCCTGTGTTGAGGTAAAGGGATTCAGGAATCCAGCGGTTGGAGGGAGGGGATTCGGGATCCAGTGGATGGGGTCCCAGGATCTAGGCCTCGCATTGTCAGGATACCGTGGCTGAGGTTTCTTGAGATCCAGAGTCCAGTGGTTGAGCTTGGAGATTCAGGACTTGAAGCAGAAGATCTAGGATCCGCCAGTTTAGGGCTGGGGATCTAGGATCCAGCACTGCCTGAGGACACTGGATCCGGTGCCTGAGGCAGCTGGTGGGGGGGCGGTTAGATACTGGGTAGGTGCTGCTGTGGTTGGGGTGTCAGGATCCATTAGCTGGCTTGTGGGGGATCCAGTGGTTAAGACATAGAGGTCCAGCACTCAGTACGGGGGCGAGGGGACAGGAAAACGTGGGATCCAGTGGCTGAAGTGTGGGGATGCAGGACCCAGTGGATGAAGTATGGGGATCCTGTGGTTTGAATGGTAGGGTTGGGGGAGGACCTGGGATCCACTGGCTGTCTCTTCGGTCTCCAGTGGCCCAGGTGTGGGGGGACATCATGATTGAGGTGAGGGATCTGGGGGAGAGGAGGTGGGTTCTGGGTCCCTCACCTGGACGTGACCCCCAGGGCCTGCTTCATGTTCTCGTAGACCACATAGGAGATGCTCACAGCAGGGATAACCTTCATGAAGTTGGGGGCAATGCCCCGGTAGAGGCCCCGCACGCCCTCCTGGGATAGGATGTGACGGAGGAGACCCAGCATGGAGAGCTGGGGGGCTCCCTCAATGGAGGCTGGGGAGGGGTGGGGAGGTCAGGTAAGGCCAGAAGTCCCCCTCTCACTTCCCCCTCTTTCCCCACCACCCCCACCAGGGCTGGGCCAGGCGGTCATTGCAGCAAGAGGGACTAACAGTGGAACCTACCACTCCAAGTTGGGGCTTCTACTGGTCTTGGACTTGGCTGCTCAACTTTTCACCCCAATCTGGAGGGCCCACATTTGGGGATGACGAGAAGCAGAGCAGGTATGTGTGGAAGGGGAGGTGGGAGAGGACAGAGAAATGTCCTCTTCCTGGAGCTCCATCCCTTCCCTCTTCTCTCAGCTAAACTCTGACTCATCCTTCCATCCTCCATCCCAAACCAGCTCTTCAGGGGAGCCCTTCTTGGTGCCCCAAGTCTGAGTCTGGCTTTTTCCCCTCCCCTTCATTCAACCCTAAATCCATACTTAATTTTGGGATGATTTATTCAGCACCTTCCTCTCCAGCCTGGAAGCCCTTTGAGGGTTGGGAGACTACATATGTGTTATGTGTGGATAACCCCTGGCAAAAATCCCAACACAAATGCTAAAATCCCTGTAGAAATTCTCAAAAAAAAAAAAGAAGAAGATTGAGGGATAGTAGAGGGGAGGAAAAAAACCTCAAGAAACAATCCAGAGAAACACAATAGAACAACTGTAGCCTGTAGCCTGGCCCTGTTGCTCCCTGGCCTGGCTATAACCCAGCCTTGCAAATTAGAACTCAAAGAACCCGCCCAGAAAGCTTGCCTCCCAACTGAGATCGCTGGGATCCTCATCCAGTACTGATTGTGTCTGTTCTCCTGCTTAGGATAAGGGGCTCCCATTCCAGTGTCACAAAAGGGTAAACTGTGACCCAGAGAAAAGTCAGGACTTGAGTCAAGGCCAATCCAAATTCCAGGAGGATCCCAGCCTGGGACTCTGCTTTCTCAGGAGGAGGAGCTGGGGGATGGGGAGATGGGCCCGAGTCGTGAGACCTTCCCTGTCTCCTCGTCCCACCCAGGCCTCACCTTGGGCCTGCATGCGGGTCCGGACAAGGGCCAGTGGGTAGCTGGCTATCTGGCCGCACGTGCTGGAGATGGTGCCACAGGCCAGGAGGACGAGGATGCCCGGGTCAGCTGAATCATGGCTATACTGCTGGAGCCACTGGTTCTTCAGGGTCTGGGAGGGGTGGAGAAGGAAGGAGGGTGGGAGGGAGCTAGGTGACAGCAGGACCCTGCTGGCTGGCTTCTGTATCCTGTGACAGTTGGTCTTAGCCATGCAGGGTCTTGCTTAGACCTCACCTAAAGGGGACTTTCCTGGTGGTCCAGTGATTAAGACTGAGCACTTAAAAAAAAAAAAAAAAAAAAAGACTGAGCACTTCTAATGTATGGGGCCTGGATTCCATCCAGTTCCCAGTGGGGGAACTAAGATCCCACATGCCTGCTGCACCATGGGGCCAAAACCCCAAAAAAACTTCACCTAGACTCTTTCTGGGCTTCCCTGATGACTCAGATGGTAAAGGATCTGCCTGCGATATGGGAGACCTGAGTTTGATCCCTGGGCGGGGAAGATTCCCTGGAGAAGGAAATGGCTACCCATTCCAGTACTCTTGCCTGGAAAATCCCATGGACAGAGAAGCCTGGTGGGCTACAGTCCATGGGGTTGCAAAGAGTCAGATGCAACTGTGCACACTCACACAGACCCTCTCTGGTATGTGGAATAATGGCCCCCCTATTGTTCCTGCCCTAATCCCTGGAATCTGTGAATAGGATACCTTCCTTGGCAAAAGGGACTTTGCAAACAGGATTAGGTTAAAGATCTGGAGGTGGGAGATTATCCTAGAGCTTTCAAGTGGGCTGGATGTCATCACAAGTCTTCTGAAAGTCAGAGAAGGAGATGTGATGACAGAAACAGACACGAGAGACATGAGGTGGGAGAAGAGGCCATGTTGCTGACCTTAAAGATGGAGAAGGGGCCATGAGCCAATAAACGTGGGCCACCAGAAACTGGAAAATGTAAGAAAATGGATTCTCTCCTAGAGCCTCCTAAAGGAAGGAAGCCTTGCTGACATCTTGATTTTAGCCCAATTAGACCTATTTTATGGGTTTCTCTGGTGGCTCAGTAAAGAATCCCCCTGCCAATCAGGAAACATGGGTTCGATCCCTGGGTCAGGAAGATCCCCTGGAAAAGGAAATGGCGATCCACTCCAGTATTCTTGCCTGGAAAATTCCATGGACAGAAGAACCTGGCAGGCTACAGTTCGTAGAGTTGCAAAGAGTCAGATATGACTGATAGGACTAAATAACAATTACTATCCCCATTTCACTGATGAGAAACTGAGGCTCAAGGGAAGTTACTTGCCCAAAGCCACAAGATAAAGGTGACAATCAACATTCAGAGTCACCCCCAAGTCCAGAGCTATGCTCTTCGCCAATCCCTTCTGAGGCCTTCTGTGAGGCCTCTGTAAGTCCAGGATCTTTTTTCTGACCTTGGGACTGGAAAGGCTCATAGGCTGCATTTCCTGAGTCAATCTTAATCCATTGCTAATGGCTTCCCAGAACTGTGTTGAGAGAGACTCAAGTGTGGTAATGGATTGGTGATGTCTGGTCTGGGTATGGAAGGGGAAAATGAGAAGTATTTACTATACTGACTTTGGGGCTAGAGCTGCATTAGCCAATTAGGTGTTTCATGAGTTTTTAAGAGCAGTTCTGTTAAAAAGAGGTTTTAACACCTGGATAAGTATGGCCAACACTGTGCTTAAAAAAGAGTAAATCATGTTTCTGCAGGCCTTCTCAGAGTCTTTAAGAGACTAATTAAGATCTTGAAATGTCAAGAAGGCACAGGGCTTCTCAAACTACTTAGACCTCTGAAATCCCTTTTAGGGTGAAGAATGAATGATATAAGGCTGTGTCTTATATCTGCCCAGGAGTCTTAATGGCTTCCTATCACCTTTGGAAGAAGCCCAAACTCGTGATCTTTGAGTCCTTGCTGATATCAACTCTGTCCAGCCACTCAGGACTTCCACTCTTCAACAGCAAAACAACCAACCAATCTAATCAAAAAATGGACAGAAGACCTAAAAAGACATTTCTCCAAAGAAGACATTTATATGGCCCATGGGAACGTGAAAAGATGCTCAATGTTGCTAATTATTGGAGAAATGTAAATCAAAACTACAGTGAGGTATCACATCACACTGGTCAGAGTGGCCATCATTGAAGAGTCTACAAATAATAAATGCTGGAGAGGGTGTGGAGAAAAGGGAACCCTCCTACACTTTTTGGAGGGAATATAAATTGGTACAGCTACTGTGGAAAACAGTATGGAGGTTCCTTAAAAAACTAAAAATAGAGCTGCCATTTGATCCAGCAATCCCACTCCTGGGCATATATCTGGACAAAACTATAATTTGAAAAGATACATGCACCACTAATCACAATAGTTGAGACAGGGAAATAAATGTCCATTGACCATATAAATACTTACTTAAATAAGTATCATATAAGATGTGGTACTTATATACAATGGACTACTAGTCAGCCATAAAAAAGGATGAAATAATGCCATTTCCAGCAACATGGATGGACCTAGAGATGATCATACTAAGTGAAGTAAGTCAGACAGGGAAAGACAAATACCATATGATATCACTTGTATGTGGAATCTAAAATACTACACAAATGAACTTATCTATGAAACAGAAACAGACTCCAGACCCAGAAAAAAACTTATGGTTACCAAAAGGGAAAAGTGAGAGGGGAGGGATAAATTTGGAGTTTGGGATTAACAGATACAAACTGTTTGTGTGTGTCAGTAGCTCAGTTGTGTCTGACTTTTTGCAACCCCATGGACTGTAGCCCACCAGGCTCCTCTGTCTGTGGATTTCTCCAGGTAAGAATACTGAAGTGGGTTGCCATTTCCTTCTCCAAGGGATCTTCCTGATCCAGGGATCGAATGCAGGTCTCCTGCATTGCAGGCAGATTCTTCACCATCTGAGTACAGGGAAGTTGCATAGATACTACAGTATCTAAAATACTACAGTATATAAAATAGACAACAATGTTCTACTGTATAGCACAGGGAACTATATTCTATATCTTGTAATAAGCTGTAATAGAAAAAAAAAAGAGACTTTCACTCTTCCAAGAGACCAAATTCATTCCTGTGTCTGGTCCTTGGTATTGGCTATGCCCTCTGCTTTGTTCACACTCTCTTTTGATATATATTCAACACATCACTCCAGCATCACCTCTCAGAGGCATTCCCAGCCATGCCTCCTCCTGCCCACAGCTACTTTCGATTATACATTCTCTTTGTTGTCTTCTGAGAACTTTTCAGGATCTGAAACTATTTATTTGCTGGTTTACTGCCTTCTTTGTTCACTGGAGGGGTATCCCAGGAGGACAAGAATTATGTTGTACTCTTTGAATGCATGCATTGGAAGGACTGACGCTGAAGCTCCAATACTTCGGCCATCTGATGCAAACAGCTGATTCACTGGAAAAGACTCTGATGCTGGGAAAGATGGAGGGCAAGAGGAGAAGGGGGCGAAAGAGGGTGAGATGGTTGGATGGTATCACTGACTCAATGGATGTGAGTTTGAGCAAACTCAGGGAGATAGTGAAGGACAGGAAAACCTGGTGTGCTGTAGTCCATGGGGTCACAGAGAGTCAGACACGATTTGGCAACTGAACAACAACCTTGAATGCAGCAGCCAGCACAGTGCCAGGCACTTATGGATGCTTAGGAAACAGTTGCTAAACCAACAAATGAATGAATGAAGCTTTATCTCATTTGGCTATGTAGATGCTGGGTGCTGGTAGGGCAGGTAGGGTTGGCATGTATGGGGCATCTCAGATCAGGACCAGCTGTGTCATTTGTGGGACCCAGTGTGAAATAAAAACAAGTGAGGTCCCCTGTTCAAATATTACTGAAAATTTTAAGACGGGACTTTCCTGGTGGTCCAGAGGTTAAGAACCCACCTGCCAGTGCAAAGGATATGAGTTTGATCCCTGGTCTGGGAAGATCCCACATGTCACGGGGCAACTAAGCCCGTGAGCCACAACTACTGAGCCTGAGATCTAGAGCCCAAGGGCCATAACCCCTGAAGCCCATGCACCCTAGAGCCTGTGCTCTGCAACAAGAGAAGCCACTGCAATGAGAAACCTGTGCACCACAACTAGAGAGCAGCCCTCGCATGCCACAACTAGAGAAGGGGACCCAGGGCAGCCAAAAATAAATAAACAAATGAAAAGAAAAACAAATTCAAGATGGCAACAGCAAAACATTCAGCCAAGCCCAGGGCCCTTTTGAGTTGGCAACTGGACAGGTTGCCCACCCAGGAAGCTGGGCTGGATACAAACATTGGGGCAGGGATGCCTGGGGACTTCTGTGTTAATTGGGAGACCCTGGTGATCCTGCCGGGAGATGGGAAAAGCAATGGATGAGGCCCCTGGAAGAGAAACAGCAAAAACTCCCAGCTCCTTCCTCTCCTGCTAAAGGTCCCAAGATGCTGACCATGGGGTGTGGATTTTATAATGACGATGGACACTGATATGGGCAGACCTTAAAGAAAACATTGGCTTGGTGGTAGAGGCATGTTTGACCCATATTTTGGGAGGAGATGGGCATCTTTGAAGCTCAGCTTTGCCTTCTCCCTTGATTCTCTGAACTGGAGTGGTCCCCAACTTTCACACGTCCTGAGACCTGGGAAGACCAAACTATACAGATGGAAGGTTCTTGTGGTAGGAAGTGGAAGAATGGCAGGGGATGGGGGTCCAATGCCTGAAAAGGTTCCCCAGGATCCCATGGCCCATGGTGCTTTGCTTCTCCACCTATAGCTATGGAGGTCAACTGATTCAGACCCCCAGGGAGAGCAGACCCCACCCAGAGAAGGGAGTGCCACAGACCTCATAGACGGCCAGGTCGATGCCCGCGTAGGGGATGATGCCCAGAACGTTGGGCAGGTAGCCACGGTAGAAGGCACGGGGACCTTCTCTCTCCAGGATCTGCCACGCACAGTCCAGCAGCCCCTTGTACTGGCCTGTCCGGCGAAGGGTCAGTCGTGTCTTCAGCACCTGGGGAGAACCCGGTTATCCCTGGAAAAGCTGCCTTTGGAATCACAACATCCAAGAATGAAGACAGCTGGGTGGAGACACCCTGAGAATAACTGAGTTAAAAGAACCATTTGCTCTAGAATCTATCTTCTGCCTCCAATCTCTATACCAAAAACTGTTACATCTATCAGGGTTGCTTGTGGCACCCACTGCTAACTATCTCCCAATATCCCTTAGCAATAGAATCTGTTATTTTCAGCAAGCACACAGCCTCTAGAAATATAGACTACATTTCTCTGCTCCCCTAGGTGTGTGGCCATGTGACTGAGTCCTAGCCGATGAAGGTGAAGAAGTATGCAAGGCTTTCAGAAAGCATCCTTAAAGTCAGGGAGGTGTTCCTTCCTTTGTTTTTCCTTCTTGGCTGGAATGTGGATGCTGTAACTGGAGCACAAGTAGCCATTTTGGTCCATAAGGAGGGTGCTGCATGCTGAGGTGGTAGAACAAGATAGACTCTTGTTCTCCAACACTCTGAAGCCACTTATACCATCCCTGAACTGCTCACCTCTGGACTTCATTTACATGATTTAAGTTTTCTACCACTCCAATCCTAACTGATGCCTGGTACAACCCAAAACTTGAAATGATTTCTCCAAAAACGGTTTCACTTGGAAATGATTCCCTTGGGGACAAGCACCCTGGAAACCAGGATCCTTAGAAGAGGCATATCCATCAATGGCTGGCCCCCACAACTGTTCTCTAAACAGTTAAACCAACACTGATCAAACCAGCCAATGCTGAAGGAAATCAACCCTGATTATTCACTGGAAGGACTGATGCTGAAGTTCCAGTACTTTGGCCACCTGATGTGAAGAATCAACTCACTGGAAAAGACCCTGATGCTGGGAATGACTGAGGGCAGGAGGAGAAGGGGGCCCTTCTCATCCAGAGGATGAGGTGGTTGGATGGCATCATTGACTCAATGGACATGAGTTTGAGGAAACTGCAGATAGGGAAGGACAGGGAAGCCTGGTGTGCTTCAGTCCATGGGGTCGCAGAGTCATATACAACTGAGCTGAGAGTCAGATATGACAAACCAGTAATGTCCCCAGAAATCACATGTCAAACTGTGATACCCAGACCAGCTACACAAGAAACAGCATTGCTGTAATGCGTCTGAATCAGGAAGAGACAAACTGATCACCCAATGCTTAGTGGATCAATGTGAAGTGGATCATCCCACTTCACACCTTGGAGTGAAACAGTGATTGCAGACCTCCCACAGTACAACGAGGTCTCTGCCAGGGCTCCTCCTTACCTCCATGGGGTAGATGATGGTTTGGGCTGTGGCACCAGCCAGGGAGCCAGCCACAAAGCGCTCCTGCACGTGCAATGTCTCCTGTTGCCCCCGGATGGCCCGCTTGATCTGAGAGGGAGACACAGAGGTGGCAGGACCTCAGGGCTTGGCCTTCCGTGGGCTTGAACTTCCCCTCTGCTGTCCTTCTGCTGGGGGTGTCCCATAGGGGAGCAGATGCCTACTCCCGGGGACCTGCAGACATTCCCGCACCCCCAGGCCAATCCTGCAGACCCCATGTCTACAGTCCATGCCTCCCCACACCTGCCCCCACCTGCTCATAGGCCATGAACTTGATTGCTGACTCAGGTGCAATCTTGAGCACATTAATCCCGTTGCCACGCCACAGGGAGCGCACACCCCCCTCTTGGATCATGCTCCGGAGGCCCCCCAGGATGTTGAGCCGGTTGGTCTTGGAGGCGTGGACCTGGGTGGGGGGAGACAAGGTGGCTTCGGGGTCCCTTCCAGGGGTCCAGGCCTGGGGAAAGGAGGGGGTGGGTCTCTCCAGGGCCTCTCACCTGCATGAAGACCTTGAGGCGGTCCAGAGGGGCTGTGCCTGTCCGGGACACGGCACCCGCCACTGCGCCCGCCACCAGCTGCTTCCACCACATGCCAGTCAGCTTCTCCTGCTCCGAGAACTCATCCGGGACAGTCAGGCACTCACCAATATCCAGGACCTGGGGATGCAGAGGCTGGGGGTGTCATGACCCACTGGGGCTGGGAAGATGTGACTCTGCTCTAAACTGGGGCATCTCCCCCGTGAATTCCAGGATACCCAGAGAGTCCACCAATCCAAGAGATCTCTCTCAGATCCCTACCAGATCTAGTCTCGCAGTCTCCATGAGAGGTAACATCCTTCCTGGGGACTTCCCAAATCCCATCAAAGCCTCCTATTCAAGCCTCTGCTCCATAAAGATCCCTCCAGGGCCAATGAAATCCCTCTGCAGGATTCCATCCATAGGGTCTCTCACATAAGGATTCCAGAAGATTCCTCCAGGGCCACACAAGATCCTACCAGGGGCTTCCCATATCAGGAGCCCAGTGGCTCTCTCCTGGGGTCTCCCCCTGATCCCAGGGGTCTCCCCCACAGAGATCATCCGCCCTCTAGCATCTCCACTTGTGGACTTCTTAACCAAGCCCCTCATAGGTCTCCCAGGGTGGGAATCTCTGGATCTCTTAAGAGATCCCAGCAGATCCCAAGGATGGATTCCCTCCAGATGCCATCAGATCCTATCAGAAGCATCAGTTAGGGATTCCCATCCCAGAAATGACAATCCAGTGCACTTCTTCCCTCAATATCTAATGGATCTCATCAGACCCTCCAAAAACAGTGGCTTCCTAACTTGTCTTTTCAGCAGCAGAATTCTTTATTCGGCAGAACTAGAAACCAGCAGAAGGAGAGCTCCATGGGTAGAAGGTGGGAGATCAGATGCCCCATCTGGTGAGCCCTCTCTTGCCTACCTCCCCACGGCCCCACAGTAAGTCTGAAGGGCTCCCATCAGCTCCCATCAGTTCCCAGAGCCAGATGGAGGAAGAGGAGAGCAGAACCTCACCCTCAGGCTGCTCCCAGTGGCTCCTCCCACTAGAGTGCTGATCCAGCCCCTGCCCCTATGCCCTGGGGAAGAGAGGTCCTGCCCACCAGGCTGGGATCGTCACCCCCACCTCACCGTGGAATGCTTCCAGAAATACAGCACATCTTCCACATTCTCCAGCGAATGCAACAGGAAGTGGTCACGCCACTCCTGCCAGTCAATGGTCATGGTGCCATCACGGTCCATGCTGGTGAGGAGAGGGGCACAGGTGGGACAGAATCAGTGCCTGGGGCTGGGAGGTGAGTTGAGGGTGGTGGGAGATTCTGGTTTGTTTGGGGAGGAGACTGAGCTCCTTGGCACTGCGAAGCCCCCCATTTTACAGAGGGGCACACTGAGGCTCAGAGAGGGAAAGCAACTGGCCCAAGATCTCAGCTCCACTCCCTCCCTGGGATTGGGTCCAGGGCTCAGAGGCTCGAGGTGGCTGAGGGGGTCTTGGGGATGAGTTACCTGGGATTGTGGACCCAGCCACTCACCTGTGCAGGATTTTCTCTGCCTGTTCCAGTGAGATGGAAATGCCCAGGGCTCGGAAACTCTGCTGGATCTCAGAGACATCAATCTGACCTGGGGAGGGGGCCCGAGGGGGGGACCCTGAGTCCGAGGACCAGAATAGCTTGGACTGGGGATGTCTAACAAGACCAGGGCACACAGGAACCCAAGGTGAGGTGTGTGGCAGGGTTGTGGCGAGGGGCCCTTGACCCATTGGGATCAGAGAGGTGGAATTGGTTCATATTGGGAGGGACTTGCATTTGCTGAATGAATGAAGGATTAAGTCCAGGGGTAATTATTGGGGTTCCCATGCCACAGGGAGTTGAGGCCATGTTGGACATCCAGAAAATACGATGGGGGTGGCTCTGTCTCACAGGGAATCCAGGAGCAATGTGGGGAGGGGAATCTTTGCACCACAAATAATATGACTAATAAATAATAGGGTCCCATCCCATTAGGAAAAGGAGGTGGGATAGGCCAGCTGGGCCCTGAACCACCTAGCTGAGGGTGAGGAGAGCTCCCGAAATAGCCTGTGAGTCATCAGGGAGAAGCGGCCCTCCCCGCTTCTTCCTGGCATTGCCAGTTCTAACCCCACTGGGGTCTCCAGGGCCCCCACAGCCCCATCCCCCAGTCTTACCATCCTGATTCCGGTCCAGACTGTGGAACAGAAGTAAAAGGCGCTGTTCCCGCTCCTGCAGGTAGAGGATAAACTCCTCCAGGTCAAGGCCGCCATCTGGGTCAGTGTCACCCTCAGGGGGGATGCCCTGGCAGGGGAGAAAGGTCAGAGGGAGCTCCTAAAAGCTGCTCCCACAATGTGGGGCATGACAAGCTTATGTCCCAGGAACCTGGGCCCATCACCCTGCCATCAGCTCTCCCCTCAACAAGATGCCCAAGGCCATGGTAGGTCTGTGAGGTGGACAGCAGTTGTCCAACTTTCCTGGTGAGCAAAATGAGGCTCGTCAAGGTCAAGTAACTTGTCCAAGGTTACAGAGCTGGGAGGTAGGTAGGTGGATTTGGGCTCTTGTCTCTGCAACCTGTCCTTCCAGCTGTCTCTTATAAGAACTTGTCCGAGTGGCAGTTTCAAGAGCTCTCACTGGAGATGGCACTGAGCAATGTGGTAGCAAGGACACAACCACACTGAGCATCCACTGGGCCTCTGTTTACCCATCTGTAAAGTGGGAGGGTGACTGGAGGTCTCAGGGTTCCATGGGGACAGTCCAGTGGCATGTGGGTCTTCAGGTGTAGAGGGATTGGGGTCAAGTTCCTGCTTGGATAGGATCATCCCCAGCTGAGGGCAGCCTCAGATAGGATTGGGTCCTTGGCTGGGACAACTTGGGGCATTGAGCCAAGTCCTAGAAAGGACAGGGAAGGGAATGTAAACATAGAGTCTGGGGCAGCTGCCTGGGAGAGTAGTGGGTGCCCAGAGCCGGGTAGGAGGGAGGGGAGGGCATGTTTCCTGTAGGTGGGTGCAGGCCATGTCTCTGGGTTGTGCAAAGAGTTCAGAGGAGGGTGTGTCCAGGGCAGTGGGCAGAAAAGCACGTGGCCCCATTCCCTGGCAGACATCCTCCACCCAGAGGGAGGAGGGGGACAGGTTTGGCAGCCTGAACTGCAGGCCTGGGGCCTTGGGGGTCCTATCTTGAGCGATCCCGTTAGGCCCGGACACGGGCGGGCACGGGCAAAGAGACAGGGACGCTCAAGCTAGGCACCGGTCCTGGAGTCCAGCACAGGCTGTCACGGGCGACTCCCGGCGCTCCATTCAGGGGCTCAGATTACCCGGCGCCAGCTGGGCCCAGCGCCGCGCACCGGGAGGGGTATCCCAGCGGGGGTACCTGTTGGGCGCCGCGGTCCGGATCGCCCCCGCCCAGCCGGGCCAGTCCCTGGCGCAACTCGCGAATGTCCACGCGACCATCCTTGTTACTGTCCAGCTCTTCGAAGAGGCGACCCCAGCGCTGACGCCGCTCGGCATCGCCCGGGCCCCCCCGCATGGCGCCAGCCCGGGGGGGAGGGGAGGCCCGGCAGCGGCGGCCTCAGCGGGGGCTTGACGGCTCCCCCTCCCCCCCCGGGGCTCCGCAGGGCCAGCTCCGCGGCCACTGCCACCGCAGCCTCCGCGCTGTCTGCCGGGCTCCGGCACTTGTAGGAGGCGGTGACTGCTAGCCGTCGCCGCCCGCACCAGAACTTGCTTCTCCTTCCCCGACCCGCTTTGGAGGGAGGGGGCTGAGGGCGGAGCTGGGGGGTGGTGGTGGTGGGGTGGGTCAGGGATGCCCCGGTATTAGCACAACCTAGGGAGCACCACATTCATTCTGGAAATGGAGTGAGTGGCTGGAGAGAGCAATATCTCAGGTCTGATTTCGTAGCTCCCTTTCTACGTGCCTCAGTTTACCCTCTGCCCAAGGAGGCGAGATAAGGAGATCTCAAGGATTGGGTTACGTAATCCCTTTCCACTTGACCTCCCGCCTCTACTAATTTTCATCAGGAACTAAAGTTCTCTTTTTGCCTGGACATTCTCAAGGACCAACTCTGCGCCATCTAGGCCTGCAACAGCCCTCCCGCTCCAATCACATTCCCTACACGGCCACTGAAGCACAATATCTAGCCGTGCTGTCATCCCGCCCGTGCGCCTCCTTTCTCGGTTCCACTCAGCCTGGGAAACCGAAGATCAACGCGCCGGGCTGCTGCAAAGTCGGTTTCCTATTGGCCAGAGCCGCAAGAGCTGTGCCCGCCCGTACCGCCTCTCCCACCCACCTAGGCGGGGCCTCCCCGCTGACCCCGGGCAGCCTTCTGCCCCGCGGCCCCTGGCTCTCCAGGAAGTCTTAAAGGGGCCCCGACCTGATCCGGACACCGAGAAAATTGCTTTCTCCGGACCTGCCTGGGGAGGAGTCCCAGGCGCTGCTGGGGATAACGACCGCGTAACTGGAGGCGGGGCCCCAGTCTGTCGCGCTCCGTGCACCTGCCGAAGGTCCCTCCCACTAGTTTCGGGCGCAGTTTCTCGATTCACCTTTAGGGGGAGGGGCGCCCGGGCCTTTTGACAGCGAATAATAATAGCTAACGTTGATTCATTGCGTTGCACAAGCCTGGTCTTTTACTCACCTCTCGCGTCGTCGTCTCTAAAACCCTAAAACGTACGTGGGACTGGCTTTCGCACTTCACGGATGAGGAAATAGGAGGTTAAGCTGCTCACCCCAGTCCATATGCCCAGGAAGGGGCAAAGCAGAGATTTAACTAGACCTGGGATTCTTACCCATCGTTGATCTATGATCTGGAAGGCATTAATTTCCCCTTAACCATAACTCTTCACTCTCGAGTCTGCAGGATGGGGTCGTCTTATTACCATCTTCCTTTATCCAAAGATACAGCCGTGAGGGCAATATGCCCAGATAGGTGTGCTCTAACACGTGTGTTCCAGACAAAGCCTCTTACAGAGGGTCTCCTCATAAACGTTTTCATTCACAGGTGGCCCTCGCAGGTGCCCTGCAACACAGGGGGATACAGGTATTTTCACACGGAGATGCCCCAAACAAATGGTTTCTCACAGTTGCATGCTTGACAGGTGGACCTTAGTACACACGAGCCCCCCTTAGATGTGCTTCTATCTCCGTGTGCCCCACGCAGGCGTGCTCAGGTCTCCCTCTCACGTGAGCTCAGTTCTATGCAGCTGTCCCTCCTGCAGGGTTGTTTCCTGCAGGATGTGTCTCAACAGGTATTCCTCCACCCAGGAATGCGTTATACAGCCTCCCCCACCACAGGTGTATTCCATTTACATATTCATCCATATGGGACTTTTTCATAGAACTGGGTCCCCTACAGGCGTACTTCAATGCAGGTATGTCTTGTACAGGTGCTTCTAATGTCTTTCCACACGGCAATTCCTCCTGCAAGTCTTGTTCATTTCATAGGTGAGCCATGGAGATGCATTCCCAAAACAGATGTGCCCCGCGCCACAGTGCCTCAGCCGGGTGTTTGTTAACAGGCAGGTTGCGTTCTCTACAGCTGCATTCCCCACAGGTAGGTTTCCCTTCAGCTACACTCCACATAGACGTGTTTCAAAGCAGATGTGTCCCATCGGCGTTCTTACGCATCCGTGCAGATGTCTTCTTTACACGTTAGCTCTCATGCAGGTTTGTCCCACATAGGTGTTTTTTTCTTAGAGGCTCCCCATCCCCGTCTGCCCAAGAGAAGAGTGCTTCACACACCGATGCTTCCATGCCCTGTGTGTTTCCACACCTGGACAATTCTACAGGTGTGCCGGCAGTGCAGGTGAGAGGCCGCTTTTACACCTGCGTGCTTACACTTCTTTTTACGCCTTCCGATTGTAGGATTGGGTTCCCGTTACAGGTGCGTCCGTGGCGCGGCCCCGCCCCCGCTAGGCCCCGCCCTCTCATCTAGGCTCAGGTGCAGAAGCCGGAAGTGCGCTCCCCTCCCAGGTGAGTGACTAAACTTTCCGGGTCACGAGAGCGGGCGGAGCTGGAACAGTGCGACCCAGCCACTGACCGACGTACCGAGGGTTCAAGCGAAGGACCGGCATCCAGACCCGGAACGAGGTAGAAGGCGCCCGGACCAGGTAGGGTGGCAGGTCTTGCGGCTGGGCCTGCCGCCCCCTCCCCCTCCCCTCCCCCTCCCCTCCCCTTCCCCTAGCCCAGGAACGCGCCGCCCCGAGTTAATCTTTAATCTCTGACCTCCGGCGGCGGGGCGGGGCGGGACTCGCGGGTGGCCGGCACGGGTCGCCCCTCCCAGGGGCCTGTGCCTGGATCCGGCCCCCTCCCCCACGCCCTGGCCTTTCTCCTTCAGCTCCCAGGTGCGGGGTCGAAGGTACCCCCGTCCGGAGATGCGGTAGGAGCGGCGCCCGCGACAAGCCCCTTCCCTGTGCCACCAGCCTGTCACCCGGCCCATGGCGAGCCCGAGCCTGGAGCCGCTCCTGGCGCTCGGCCTGCCACTGCTGCTGGCCCGCTGGGGCCGGGTCGGGGGGCAAGGTAGGTACCGGCCCGGGGCGCTGGGGGTCTGGGCTCTGAAGAGCTGTGTCCATGGAACACTGAGAGGTCAAGAACCCAGAGCGGGCATGTGATGCCTTGGGAGCAGGAGTCGATAGAGTCAGAGCTGGAGGGTTAGAATTTCTGTGTCCTTCCTTGGACGGTTGGAGTTGGTCTAGGAGAATTCCTGAGTTGGGTGGAATTGTGAGCTGCCGGGAGAGGAGGCCTGCGGGCCGGAGTCTCAGTAAGGTTGAGGACTCTGGGGAAATGCGAATCAGGAGGAAGCCTGCCTGGGGCTTTAGGCCCAGGTTGAGCAGACTGGCCTAAGGTGTGGACCCTGCCTTTCTGCCCTCTATTCTAGTTTCGGGTGCCTGGGGGGAGGTGTGTGAGTCAGACACTCCGGGGAAATACAGGATCCGCCCAGCTCCTTAAGAGCTGACGGAGGGCCGGGGAGGTGGGTTGTGGGGGGGAAGGGTTGGGTTTCCGGACACTATCCATTATAATAGCCCCCAACTCAGTGCAAACTGCAATCCGCTGTTGGTTGATTACAGTAGGGCCGTCCCCTTCATGGAGGGTACCCACAGAATGAAAGACTCAGAAGGGCAGAGTTCTAGTGAGGGGAAATGCCCACGGATGATGAAGATGTTCCCAGCTAGGAAGGAATAGATGGGTGTTCATTCATCTTCTCTGGGGCTTCCCAGATGGCTCAGCAGGTAAAGAATCCACCTGCCATGAAGGAGCTGTGGGTTCGATCCCTGGGTCGGGAAGGTCCCATGGAAGAGGAAATGGCAACCCACTCTAGTATTCTTGCTTGAAAAATCCGGTGGACAGAGGAACCTGGCAGGCTCTACAGTCCATGGGTCGCAAAGAGTCAAACACGACTGAGCAACTTAGCATTGTCTTCTCTACCGCTCCCCAGCAGCTTCTACGACACCGAGCACTTCTACAAGTGTGAACGTAAACACCACCGCTTCGCCCTCTGGCCCCAGCCCTGGCTCCAATGGAGCCCTGGTGAGTTGAGTGGGGAGGGTGGTATATAGGGGAGGAGGAGCAGAAGGGATTTTATTGAGGAGTCCCTCAGGTAGTGGATGGGAGGGCCTAGACTTTCAGGGGTGACTGGTTGGATTTGGTGGGGTGAACCCCTGTGGGAGAGACCAGGAGGCCAACTTGGCAAATGAGGAGACCAAGAATACCCTGCCTGGCGAGGTCAGGAGCCCCCTGTGCCTCTCAGGCAGGGAGAAGGGGGAGCTAGAAGCTTAGGTGTGGCAGGCACTTGGAAGGAGGACCCCAGACACAGCAGGTGGAAGAGGCTGGAAGCCCAGGTATGATAGATGGGGATCAGGAACCCTGGGGGAAGGAACCCAGTCACCCAAAGCGACAGGTGTTGGGGGAGGGGATTACCATCCCCAGAGGCTTCTTGCGGTCAAGGGGTGGACAGGATGTCCAGGTTCAGGGGTAACTCACACCTGTCCCCCCTCCCCCACAGTCGCAGGAGGCCACCACTGCCATCATCGTGGTTTTCTCCCTCCTGGCTGCCCTGCTCCTGGCTGTGGGTCTGGTCCTGCTGGTGCGGAAGCTACGGGAGAAGAGGCAAACAGAGGGCACCTACCGGCCCAGCAGTGAGGAGCAGGTGGGTGCCCGAGCTCCACCGCCCCCCAACCTCAAGCTGCCGCCTGAGGAGCGGCTCATCTGAAGGCTGGGGCTGGCCGCAGCCACCACCACTGCTCAGGACTGCCCGGCGCTCGCTCTCTCACAGCCACCGAGACACCAGCCTCTGATGATTCTGGAGGACTTGGGGGGCCATGGGGCACCTGCCGGGCGGGCCCTGCGAAGCATGCCGCCTCTGCTTGACTCTGCCTGCAGTTGGGGTGCCAGGGCTGGGGACCCACCTCCTCGCTTGCTGCACCATCGGTTATCTGTCCCGCTGCCGCACAGGCCCGACACTACCCCCCTCTCCTTTCCTTTCAGTTCTCCCACGCAGCTGAGGCCCGGGCTCCCCAGGACTCCAAGGAGACGGTGCGGGGCTGCCTGCCCATCTAGGTCCCCTTCCTCTACCCATCACCCTTCCTGGTTGTGTGACCTTGGGGGAAGGCAGAGCCCTCCCTGGGCAATCAAACCCACCCAGTGCTTAACAATAGAAGGGAAGAAGGTGCTTCTAAGACTGTGCCCTTGATGGCAGGGGACACTGAGGCTGCTCACTTTACACATATATCTATATAGTGGGTGGTGAGATATTATAAGACCTTCCTGTGGGCTGGCAGGAGTAGGAATTAGCCTAGATGAAGGAGACTCCTACAGGGCACATAGGCTGTTGGGAGAGGAATTCTAAGTTCTCAAGGGTCCTAGGGGCTGGGAGGACTTCCTGGAAGGGAGGGGCTTTTAGCTGCACCTAAGAGCCAGCCTGAGGTTGCCTCAGGAGGGGAGGTGGTGAGTGGTGTGGGTTTCTGAGCAAAAGAGGGCTCCCAGATAAATTCATCAGGAAAATCCAATTTTGGGCTCTTGAGGCTTTATTAACAAGGGGCCAGAGTCTCTCCCAGACCCTTGGTCCTTAACCTTCAAAACACTTTTTAAGCTCAGCGACTCTGGGTCCGCTCCTGGCCTGGGGCTCCTGCCAGTTGCTTGCAGGTACAGCTGGTGACCTGGGGGCTTCTGGCTCCTCGAGGGGCTGGAGGTGAACTGCGAGCAGGCCCTCTGAAGGTGGGGCTCCGGGGTTCTCTGGAGAACCCGGATCCGAGAAAGAATCAAGGGCTTGGGATGTCCAGGTAACACCCAAGTTGGGCTCAGGTTGGGGGCTTTCCGGAGGGCTGGGCTGGCTGGGTGCTGCCAAGAGCTGGGAGTAGGGGTCCTCCTGGGCTGTGGATTCTTCAGTTGCTTCATGGGGAGGGGAGAAGCGGAGAGGCTGGGGCTCTGTGGGAGAGGATCCAGGGTCCCCTTTCCTGCTGGGGTCTGCAGAAACTGTCAAAGACTGGGATAGAGACTCGATTTCTGGGCTGGCCTCTGAGGGCAGTTGGCAAGTGGGGTGCTTCCCGGAGCTTGTGGCATCTGAAGGCTGGGGGTTGTGCAGAGGCAGCAGGGACAGGGACTGGGGCTCTGGTGGTTTGTCATCATCCACTTGCCAACTTGATCTTCCCGGTATGTCAGGCTGGGTGGGGATGGGAGATGGGCAGTTTGCTGGCCTTTGGATGAAGCAGGCGCTGGCAGGTTGGATGGACAAATGGGGAAGGACTGGGGGGCCAGGGAATGGGGGTCTCACCAGGCTGAGGCAGCTGTCCAAGTCTTCTCTGTGGCAGCAGTCTAAACTCTGGCTGGGCCGCAGGCTACCAGTCCGCGTGGCTCTAGTGCTCAGGCTGTCCAATATCTCACTTAGCAGATCCAGTTCTTCTCCAGACCCCAGGAAGCTGCCGTCCAGTGCTTCCTCTGCCCACGGGTCCTGAGCATCCTCTGGGCTCAGGGAGGGTGTCCTGGGTGAGGATGGGCAGCCTCAGGTTTCTGCCCCAGACCAGCTGCCCTGAAGTGTCTGGAGTCCAGGGACCCACTTTCCCATCAGTCTGGCCCCCACTTCCAACACTACCCACCCCCCAACCCCCTGCCTTGGAGTCTTACCTCTCTTCCAGGGACTCAGAAGGTTTCTCTTCCAGCCTGAGTCTCCTGCTAGGACGACTCCTAGGGCGAAGGGGTCGGTTCTGCAAAGGACACATTTGGGGGCTGGGGGCGGGGCCTCAGGAGCTACAGAATCAGGGGGGCTTTGTAAATGGGGGATGGTGTGGGCACCCCATTTGGGGGTAGTTGAGATGTCTGATTGGAGGCAGGGAAGGGGGGAAGGACTTGGTGATAATTCCAGGTGTGTGCATTGGCACTAGGTGGGAGGGGGCTTACCTGTCCAAAGTGCTGGGTGATAGGCAGGCGCTGCTGCAGGCGGTCTGAGCGGCTGGTGAGAGAAGGGGCCCTCAAGGAGCCCCCTCTCTGCAGGCCAGAGTCCCCCTCCTAGGAAGAGAGTGGGTAAGCCAGGAATGCTTCCCCCCACTGCCCCCTGGCATTGGCCACTGACTTTACCTTGTACATGAGAAGACTCTGCACACCCTTCAAGCCACTCTTCGCCTATGGAGGAGCCAAAAGAGTGATTTGACACGGGCATTTGAGAACCGGGCCCTCCACCCCAGAGGACAGATTCGTCTTGCCATCTGCTCATGGGTGTCTCAAAATACATTCAGAATCCCCCTGTGCCAGCTAAGGAGTCAATACAAACATGCCTCTTTGACTAATACAAAAGGAATATTCCCCGAGGAGATAACCCCCAAATGAAACAGGGAGTGGCAAAGCCGGAACGCCATAAAAAAAAAATCAGTGTTTAAAAGCCGAGCAAAGAATAAAAATTCAACAGACGGTTCCGAGCTGCAGGAGCTGGTCCCAGAAAACTTTTGGATTTGGGAGAAAAACAAAACACTAAGCATGGAAGCAGGAATGTTAAGTGTCTCAGAAGGGATACCCCAAGATGTTTGCCAAAGAATCCTGGTGATCATTTTTAAATAGGAAAGACGTGATCTGACAAATGTGAAAGAACACAGTCAATGGAAAATAAAAGGAAACATTGCAAGTGGTTTAACTGCTGGTTCAGTTCTGATAAATTGTCCTCTAAACGGGAGGTTAAAACATCCTCTGGCTTGGTCACCCTGGTAACTGGTCTGTCCACCCCAGCCTCACCGAGCGGTACATGTTCCTGACAGCTGGTTGGGTCTTGGCCTTGACGGAGTGCAGAAGGGCACCACCCCCTTTCTGTGGAGAGAAAGCCAAGGAAGAGAGGCATAGGCACGTGGGGTTATCCTAGATGCCCCCTGCCCACCCGGGCTGTGTGTTGCTGGAAAAACCCTTCTCTCTCTCTGAATCTTCTTTTTTATTAAATAAATTAAAAAACTGAGTTATAATTTACACACTGTACAAGTCACTTGCCTTAGTTGCACAACTCAATGATTTTTGGTAGGTTTACAGTGGTTGCATAACTATCACCATAGGCATAGAGGTTTTTTGTTTGTTTTGTGTTTTTTTGTGTGTGTGTGGTATGTGGGATTTTAGTTCTCTGACCAGGGATCAAACTCCCCTGCCCTCTGCATTGGAAGCGCAGAGTCCTAACTGCTGGACTGCCAGGAAAGTCCCTCTCCCTGAGTCTTGATTTTTTTCACCTCTTTCTATAAATGGGTATAGTGAGGATGGCTATGGGTTTAATTTAATCTTGCGATAAATACTAAAAGTGGTGGTACTACCTTCAGGTTGTCTGCCCAAAGCTGGTAGGAGCGGAGTGTCCCTGCAGAGAAGAGAGCAGAGAGCATAGCATTTTCAGGGTGGGTGGGCTTAAGCGGGGGTGCTGGTGGGGTGGGGGCTCTGAGGCCAGGTGCAGAGCTTACCTGAGGAGGCCCCACTACAAGTGATCTCCTGCTCAAAGAGGTCTGAGAAGCCTTCACCTGTGTTCAGCTTCTCCAGTCGGCCTTCGATGAACTAGGGGTGTGGGAGAAATCGGGATGCCCAAAACATTAGAATGCGAATTCTAGGGATCTACTTCCATCAAGACATAGAAGACATCCTTGGCCCCACCCTTCCCCAACATGAGGCCCCAGGAGTCTGGAGCCCACCTCAACAAGCCAGAGGTCCGCCCCTCCCCACCCCAAGTCAGGATCTGTCTTCAGGGACCAGACTCTGTTGCTCACAGGGTCGGAGAAGTAAGACTGCCACTCGACACATGCCTGCCACCTCTCAGTGACCCTGGGAAGAGGTCGACTCCACCTCCAGGGACCCTAGAAGCCAGTTCGCCCTGAAGAATACTGAAGTTCATCCAACTTTCTCCCAAGAACCCAAAAGTCCTGTTCCACCTCCCCCTCCCCCCATCCTTGGGGTCCAAGAGACCAGCCTGCCTCCCTTCCCCGCAAAGGGAGTCTGATATGAACCTCCATCCTCGATCCAGGAGGCACCCACATTAGGACTCAATAATTTGGTTCCAGCCCAATCTCCTCAGGGACCTAGAAGTAAAGCTTATCCCTAGGAACTCAGGTCAGGGGCTTCCATTTTTAGAGATCCAAGAATTCATGCCTCTCCCAGAGACCCTGGAGAGGGGGATCCGGCGGGGCCAAGTCTTGCCCCGCCCAGTGAACCCAGGCGTCCATCCCTCCAGCCCCGGCTCCGCCCTCTGGGATGCGCGCATCAGCGCCCATAGCCCCGCCCCTCCGGCCGCAGCCCCGCCCCCAAGGCTCGGGCCCACCTGTTTGAACAGCTGCAGGTGGACAGCCCGCCGGTGGAAGGCCTGCAGTGGCGCCCCGGGTTTCTGGGCCAAGAAGGCTTCTTCACTGAAGGTGACAGGCTGGCCCTGGAAGAAGGACTCGAATTCTAAGCTCCTCGCGGCTCTCCTGGATCCCTTATTCTGCCTTCCTTATTCTACCGTCCCTCTGCGCCGCGAACATTGATGGAGTGCCTCTGTGTGCTTGAACTCCTGCAGGACTTCGTGGGCAGCAGGGAGGACCTGGGCTTTTACCCGGAGGGAGGTGGCAGATGGGACCTGACTCATGCTCCCAAGTGACTTCTGGAGGTTGCGAGGAGGTCAGACTATGGAGCCCGAGGGTGAGAACCCGGAGAGGGGACTTATAGTGACTCGAAGAGAGCGCTGATCCAGGCAACAAACAAACAAGGGGGCCAGACTGGAGTGGAGACAGAGGAGGAGGAGAAATGCACCGTTTCCGGCTGAGTTCAAGGGCAGAGCTGACTGGAACATCAGAGTTCTCAAATGATCGAACTCCCCGACAACCTCTTTATAGGACAGTTGTGAGAAATTGGGGGTTGGGGTGGGGAGGGTGTCAGGGTTGAAAGTCAGCAGATCAAAGCCCTGGCTTTAACACCCACCTGCTGTGGGTTTTCGCCAAGCCTTGGTTTTTTCATATGTAAACTGGGACCATAATAGTATCCCTCTCATTGTATTGTTATGAGCATTGAGAAAATAAGAGCAACTGTAAAACCTAGTGTTTATCTATTGAAACGTGCCAAGCACTGCCCGAGCATTTCAGACACTTAGGACCTTTTTGGGTGGGTACTATTGGGGTCCCATTTTACAGATGAGCAAACAGAAGCGCTAGAGAAGGAAATGGCAACCCACTCCAGTATTCTTGCCTGGAGAATCCCATGGACAGAGGAGCCTGGAGGGCTATAGTCCATGGGGTTGCCGAGTCGAACACGACTGAAGCAACTTAGCACGCAAACGGAAGCTCAAAGTAAGCACTCCGTAAAAACTGGGTATTATTATTCTGAATTCTGCAGGCACCCACGGGGCTGCTTCCTTCTCGTTCCTGCTACTCACCGGGCTGCAGACGAGGGCATCGCGGTACCCTCCGAAGAGCAGAGCCTGGGCTTTGAGGAAGAGACGGGACACCCCTTCCCCAGGGGCCAGCGCGACCTTCCTTAGCCGCAGCCTCAGTAGAGACACCTGGGGGACAAGGGGGCAGCGCTGAGCAGGCAGGTGCAGAGCCTCGCCAACCGGATGTGGCAGGAGGCTGGGGACAGGGTGACACTGACCACGTCTGGGGGCAGGGCCTGCACGTCGTCGAAAGGTGTCTCCAAAGTGTTGGAGTCCAAGTTCATCATCACGACGTCCTCCAGGGCTTTCTCCCGCACTCTCTGCATTGGGGAGTCGGAGGGGGTGGCCGCTCAGGGCCCGAGGATCTCGGGAGGGGAAGGGTACACACTCCGCCCCCCCGTGCCATCCAGGCCCACTCCCTCTTACCTCAGCGAGACTGGCATGCACTCCGATGAGGTAGGGCATAGGCGCGCTGCGGAAGACCGAGGGAGCCCGGTTACGCAGGCGCCGCCCCCGGGTCCCCAGGACCCCAGGCTTCTTCCCCAAGCCCTGCCCCCTCCCCAGGCCCCGCCCCTTACCAGCAGTAGTCCAGTAAATGCGGCGGCAGCGTGGGAATCAGCACGTGCTCCCAGTGCATGGGATACAGGAGAGCGCAGGACGCGTGGACACAGGAGGTCAGCTAGGGACGGGTGGAGGGGACCCCTTGGAGTCAGAGCCTGGACTCCCAACTTCAAGGATTCCTCGCTGGGACGGTGGCTCCCCCGACTTCATTCCTCACGTCCTCAGTCTCCTGTCTCCCTCCACCCCCTTCCTCAGCGAATACTGGGTAAGAAGTGAAAACTCAAACGCTTTCACGTGAAGGCCAATAATTCTGTAAATTACAGTGCTGGGGGCAGGTGGTGCCAGGACTCGGCACGTGTGAGTCTCTTTCTCTCTAGGGGGCGAAGCTAATATTCAACTCTCCGGATCACTCTCCTTTAGGGGTAGGACAGCCACCCAGCCCACCAACCCCATCCTGAAAGAAGTAGAATTGAGCCGGACCTGGTCCCGCCTCTGGGGGTGGAGCAACGGTTAGCCTCACTGACCCCACCCCTAAAGAGGTGGAGCTATATTTAAGTCCCTCCCTGGTCCCGCCCCTAGGGTGGGGCCAGCTTGCAGCCTCCAATTCCCCCGTCCTTCCTCGCTAGGGGCGGAGCTAGAATTTAGGCCCCCCTGCGCTCACCCTTCGGGGGGCGGAGCCAGTCTTGTTCCGGCCCGTAGTGGGTGGAGCCTGGACTCAGCGCACGAAAGCCAGACTATACAGCATCCCCCTCGGATTTCCCCCAACAAGGTGGAACCAGGGTTCAACGCAACCATGACCTTCAAAGGCGCAGAGCCAGGACTTTGTCCTCGGGTCTCGCCTAATGAGGCTAGAGCTAGGAATCTGCCCCGGTTGTCCCGCCCCTAGAGGCCAAGCGAGGCCTCTGTCCCTCCCTGGCCCGGCGACCCCCGCCTCACTGTGCTCAGTTTGCTAGACGTGAGCAGGACCCTTCGCTCTGCCAAGAGGGCGGCGAACAGTCCCACGATGTTCTCGTCGGTCACCGCCACCACCAGCTCCGTTAGGTTCCTCTGAAGAAAAGAGACAGATGCTGGACACGAGGGACCACAGGATCTCACAGCCCCCTCCTGGTTTCTGGACCTCTACTCTCCCCGAGAACTCCCTCCCGGGGTCTCTACTCACGTTCTCAGGAATGGATGGCAGGCGGCCGGAGTCGGGGGCCACGAAGCAGGACAGCTAGAGAGGGATTGGGGAAACAGCGGGAGGGGGAGGACCGATCAGTCAGTGGATTGTCCTCACGTGGATCCCAAGCTTCCAGGGTTCCCCATCTCTGCTCACCGACATGTTCTTCCCAGGGACAGGGGCCTGCAGGCCTTGTGCACTGGCAATCCTCATTCCACTGCCCTGGGGGAGAGATGTAGACTGTACTCCTCAGGGCCTGGGTACAGCCTATCCTGCCACCGGAGGTCCGCCGCTGCTCAGGGGTGAGGAGTACTCACCAGCTCTAGACCTATTGAGGCCTGGGTCCCAGGAAGGGGCTGCTGCAGCACATTCAGAAGAAGTTCATCCACCTCTGAGACCTGGGTGGGGGTGGGATGTCTGAGCCAGGACGTGGGTTGGGGACTCTGAGGGTCTTGACTCAGGCTGGGTGGTCTGGGAGGAGTCAAGGGGCCCAGGTCAGGCCTGGGAGGCTGAGGGCTTGCGTGGTGGTAGGGGGTGGAGTGGGGCTGGGACTCCTGCAGAAATGACAGGGAGGGTTGGTCTCACTTGGTCTTGGGCCAGGAGGTCCCCCACTGTGTTCAGCAGCTTGTAGAACACCTCAAACCAAGGCAAGTGGCTGTGGAGAGTGGACACAGTTTCTGTGTAGTGCCCCTGGGCAGAGGCCCCAACCCCCACCCCCAGACCCCCATCTCCCACACCTGAGGATACAGAGACAGCTGAGAGCACCAGCCCGCAGGCGGCAGAAACCAAACCTGCGAGTGCCGGTCAGATCCGTGAGCGCGAAGGTGAAATGCTGTACAGCGGTGCTGGGGGGCTCCCTGGGAGCAGGAAAGGCTCTCAGAGACCTGGGCATCCCACTCCTGTGAACCCCCCTCCCCTCCATGCCCCTGACAGTGCTCCTTATACTGTGTCCATCAGTCTGGGGCCCTGGGCGTATAGGTCCCTAGTTGACAGGGTCCCTGGTTCTCTGAGTCCCTGGGTCCCTCTGTCCCTGGTTCTCTGAGTCCCTGGATCCCTCAAGTTCCTGGTTCTCTGAGTCCCTGGATCCCAAAGCCCCTGAATCTCCAAGTCTCTGGGTCCCTGAGCCCCTGGGTCCCTCAGTCCCTGGATCTCCTCAGTACCTGGATCCCTGAGGCCCTGGGTCCCTGAGCTCCTGGGTCCCTGAATCCCTGAGTCCATGGTTCCCTGAGCCCCTGGGTCCCTGAGTCCCTGGATCTCTGAGCCCCTGAGGCCCTGGGTCCCTGGACCCCTGAATCCCTGGGCCTTTGGAACCCTGAGTCCCTGGGTAAATGAGTCCCTTGGTGTATAGGTCACTATTTGTCAGAGTCCCTGGGTGTCTGAGTCCCTAGGCCCCTGAATTTCAGATCCCTGGGCATATGAGCTCTGCTGTCTGAGTCTCTGGGTGTTTGAGTACTGAGGGGTCCATGAGAGGTCTGGATCCCTGGGTCCTCGGAGGTCTGCTTCCTTCCATACCTTTCCACATCAAAGGGGAAGCAGAATTTAGGCACCATCTGCATAGATTCCTGGGGATGAAGAGAAGCACACACTGCTTGGCCACTCGGGTTGGGCCCCACCGCAGAGCTCCCAGTGGTGGTCCGGGTCCGAGATGCTGGGTCCCCTCCCCCTGGGGAACAGGCCCTGGCCCCGGGGGAGGAAAGGAGCCAGCCTGCATACCTGGTCCTGGAAGTCTGGGGGGAACTGCCGCAGGATGGGGGGATCTGCACAGAAAATGAGCTACTAAGTGCAGGGTCCCAGGCCCACCCTCCATCTCCCCTCCTCCAGCGACAGCCCCTGACTCACCTTCCTGCAGGGAGGCAGGGTAGGCTGCTTCGAAGAACCAATCAAACAGGGCAGGGGGACCCCCTCTGTGGGACAGAAAAGGGTTTAGTGGGTCCAGGGACTTGCTTCTGTGTGTGCCCGCACATGTGTGTGATTGTGTGTGTGTGTGTGCAGTTCTATACTGTATCTGCCTGAAAAGATCGGACTCTCCAGGTAAGACTGTGTGCATGTATGGCTGAGCCAGTATGAAGGTGAATAACATCCCCCTTTTCTTGCACAGCCGGTCGGGTCACTGGGTATACGTGCGAGGCCCTGCCCCAAGACTTCATGGGGCCTTGTGGACTGACCCCAGGTTTCCTATCAAAGGAAAGAGGGCAGTGTGCCCTGCCCTGATCCTCCTGGGAAGCCTGCCATCTCTGTCTTCCTCCCCTGGCCCTCTCCCTCCACCCACCATGCAGAGGCTTCAGGGACTGGGCTCAGAGAGAGAGAGAGACAGAGAAAGAGGATGGGGAGCGAGCGCAGACACATGGTCCCAGACATGGGGACCTCCTTACACTGAGCTTCATCCTCACACTGACATAAATCCCACACAATCAATCACACACACACAGACACGCAGAGTCCCCCTTCCCTCACTGCTGACCCCGGAAGCCAGACTCCCCATCACTGAGGTGTATTAAAAGGCACACGCTCAGAGGAACAAACTTAATCATACAGAGGGAGAGGGAGGGAGAGACTGGGGGAGGTCCCAAAGTGGCCTGAATGTGCCTGAGAACAGAGTCCATACTGTAGGCCAGCTGAGTCCTGCTCTGATTCCATCCACCTGCCCCTGTGGCTCACGGTCCCTCCCGGGCCTACCCCAGCCTTGCTCCCCTCAGCCCCAGCCCAGGCCTGGTCTGGGAATCTTGGTCCAGAGGATGGGAGAGGGGGCAGCTCTTACTCGGCTGTGGATCCCATGGTCCCTGGAGGGCTGGCCCAGCAGGACCCTTTCCCCAGGGGTCCTGGGGGCCTGTGCTTTCTCGGGGCTGGGCCCTGAGCCGTCTCAGCTTCCTGTGTGGCTGAGAGAGGAAGTTTAACGGGTGACGTCCTCAGAGGAAGGCTCCTGCCCCCACCCACTGTGAGAGACCCAGGCGTCCTACCTTCTAACCTTCCGCAGGATGGGTGGGCAAGAGGTCTGTAGGCTCAGAGGCCAGATCCCCCCCCAAGGTCTGCCAGGCTGGGCCATGTGTGGTCCCCACCATCACACCCAAACCTTCCCTTCTCTGTAGCAGCCCAGGACTCACAGTTTGCCTAAAATGCTTCCTCTTCCTTCAACTCTTTTCCCTTTGGTCCATCTGCACTGGCCATTCCTTATGGTACCGCCAGAGGGAGCCAGGATGGAGAGTGGACATGGGGGGCACCAGGAAGGTGGATGGACAGCAGACAGAATACAGGCACCAACAGGCAACACACACATGGCCAGGAAGTGACCAACACAAACAGGCCAGAACAGTCACAGACCGCAGACAGACACAGAGAGATACCCAGTTATAAAGGCAGCACATAGTCACAGACACAAGGTGACGAGTACACATAAAGAAGTCCTTGTCCATCCAGATGACAGGTGCAGGGGAATAACACACAGCTTGCACCCAGCAAACAGCTCCAGACAGAGACAACAGACACACACAGAGAGACCACAGTTGTCAATACAAATGGAATATCAGAGAAACAGACCCAGGCAAGAGACAGAAATGCACAGGGCACAGATGTAGAGCAGTACCAAAGGGACAGACATGGTCAGGGCCCAACCTCAAGTCAGATTCATAGCCAGGCATAGTCACACACACACACAGAGACACACAGCCAGACACACCCAAACAGTGTTGCAGACTCAGAAACAGACAGACACCCAGGTGGACAGATGTCATGTTGAAAAACAAAGATCCGTAGACACACCAAGGCAGGAGACATGTATGGTCATGCACATACATGCAAAATCCCACAGACAGGGACTTCCCTGGTGGTCCAGTGGCTAAGAATCCACCCTCCCAAATGCGGAAGGCTTGGGTTCAATCCCTGGTCAAGGAACTAGATCCCACATACCACAACTAAGAGTTTGCATGCCACAATAAAGACCCAGTGCAGCCAAATGAAATGAATAAATATTTTTAAAAAAATTCCACAGAGTCAAAATGCAGCAGAGTCTTCAAGACTCCTAGGCTCCCTGCAAGATATTGAGAATATCTGTGTGGATAGAGGCATGCATTTCCACGAGTCCACATGCGGCCTGGCGTGGCCTGGGGTATTTGGGGTTGAACATGGTGTCCGTGTGCCTGTAGAATTTGTGTCTACTCCATCAGGCTGAGTGAGAATGTGGATGACTCGGGATTTTCCTTCTGTGCCTGTCCACATGACTGTGGGTGCAAGGGTATTTCCACTCTGGGTGGTGGGGGGGTTAAGTTAGTGCATAAGCGTATGAACACACACACAGATATATACACACATATTCAGCCCTCCAAAGCCTCCAGCCAAGATGTAGATGCATGAGGCTGATCACAGCTTGGTCCTCTCTTTCTAAAGGGAGCTGGATCCCAGTCAGGGCTGGGGATCAGGGGTACAAAATACCCGGGCCATCCCTCTCTGCTTCACCCTTTGGGGCCTTGCTATAGAGTGCATATTTGTGGGTCCCCCTGAATTTACATGCTGAATCTCTCTCTTTTTTTTGGTGTGGACAGCTAGGCTTGATGGATCCTAGTTCCCTGACCAGGCATTGAACCCAGGGCCATGGCAGTGAAATCTCGGAGTCCTAACCACTGGACAACCAGGGAACTCTCAATGCTAAATCTTTACCCCTAAGGTGATGGTATTAGGAGGTGGGGAGTGGGTCTTTGGAAAAATGATTACATCATGAGGGTGAATCCCATGAATTGGATTAGTCTCCCCTTAACCCTGAATATTCATTAGAAAGACTGAAGCTGGAGCTCCAATACTTTGGCCACCAGATATGAAGAGCCGACTTGCTGGAAAAGACCCTGATGCAGGGAAAGGTTGAGGGCAGGAGGAGAAGGGGGCAACAGAGGATGAGCTGGTTAGATAGCATCACTGACTCAATGGACATGAGTTTGCGCAAACTCTGGGAAATAATGAAGGACAGAGAAGCCTGGTGCACCGCAGTTCACGGGATCGCAAAGAATCAGAAATGACTTAGCGGCTGAACACCACCACCAACAACAAACTCATAAAGGCAATGCCAGAGAGATCCATCACGCCTGCCACCATGTGAGGACACGGCAAGAAGACTGCCATCAGTGAACCAGGAAGCAGGCTTTCACCATAACTTCCGGCACCTTGATCTTGGACTTCCAGTTTCCAGAACTGTGAGAAAGAAACGTTTGTTATTGATAAGCCACCCAGTCCATAGTGTTCTGTTAACGGCTGGAATGAACTAAGGCATAATCTTTGCAGACATATTTCAAATCCTTCTTCATTTCTGAAATTCACTCCAAGGCAATCCAACGGCAAACCCATGGGGTGGGAAAGAGAGAAGAGCTCATGCTCCTTTGTGAAAGTGGGACCCTATCTGTCCTTGTTTCTGCATCTTTTTTTTTGGCTGCGCTGTGCAGCATGCAGGATCTTAGTTCCCTGACCAGGGATTGAACCTGTGCCCTGTGCAGTGGAAGCATGGAGTTTTAACCTCTGAACCCCCAGAGAATTCCCCTGTTTCTGCATTTGTATCATAAGTAAACATGGTGCTTGTTTCAGAGATCCCACGAAGGGTTAATGAGAGATTTCACGTGATATATTTAGTACAAAGTCATGCCTGAATCAAGCTTTTTGTGTGTTCTGTCCATGATTAGGGAAGACAGGTCAGGGAATTGGTTAAGAGAGTAATTTTGGAGTCAGAGATGCTTGGATTCAAGACCTGACTTAGTTCTTTAACATCCCTGTGACCTTAGGCACATCATTTAACCTCTCTGTATTAGTTTTGTCTGGCTACGTAATCTATCACCCTATAGTTTGTGGCTTAAAAGAACACACATTTAGGGACTTCCCTGGTGGTCCAGTGGCTAAGACTCTGCACTCACAATGCAAGGGGTCTGGGTTCAATCCCTGGTCAGGGAACTAGATCCTACATACCGCAACTAAGCATTCATATGTCACTGATGAAGATCCCATGTGTCGCAAGGAATGTGCTACAAAGATCCTGACCTGGAGAGGGAGGTGGGAGGGGGGACCAGGATGGGGAATACATGTAAAAAAAAAAAAAAGATACACTATGGTTGTGATAAAAAATAAATAAATAAATAAATAAATAAATTAAAAAAAAAAAAAAGATCCTGACCTGACACAGCCAAATAAATAATAAATATAAAAAAGCACACATTTATTTTCTGACAGTTTCTATGGGGGCCAGGACTCTGGACACCGCTGATTCAGGTCCTGTACTGCGGGGTCTCTTTGCTGTAATAAGGTGTCAGCGAGGCTGTGATCCCTTCTGATGCCTCAACCAAAAAAGGATCTGCCTCCAAGCTCACAGTGGCTGTTGGCAGGTGTCAGTTTATTGTGGACAGAGCACCCCAGTTCCTTGCTGGCTGTCGACCAGAGGCTACACTCAGGTTTTTTTTTTTTTTTTGCCATGGGGACTTTCCCAACCTACTTCTTGCTTCCCCACAACAAGCAAGCTGAAAAGGCAATAGAGAACTCATCAAGGCAGAAGTCACAGGCTTTCGTAAGCCAGTCTCAGAAGGAGCATCCCATTGCCTTTGTCGTATACTGTTGAGCAGAAGAAATCTCCAGGTCCAGCCTGTGCTCAATGGGAGGGGAGAACACAAGGGCATGAACAGGGAGAGAGGCATCATTGAGGGTCATCTGAGAAGCCACCTTCCACCTTCCCTGTGTCTTTGTTTCCTTGCTTTATCTTTAAAATAAAAAAAAAAAAATAATTTATGGACTTCCCTGGTGGTCCAGTGGTTAAGAATCCATCTTGCAATGCAGGGGATGAAGGTTCGATCCTTGGTCAGGGAACTAAGATCCCACCTGCCTCAGAGCAACTACGTCCCTACATCACAACTACTGAGCCTGAGAGCCACATCTAGAGAGCCTATGCACTGCAATGAAAATCCCACGTGCCACAACTAAGATTCAACACAACCAAATAACTATTTTAAAAATGAAAAAAGAATTTTGGTCACCACGTGATTAGTGGGATTTTAGTTCCCCGATCAGGGCCTGAATTTCTGCCCAGGCAGTGAAATTCAGGTTCAGGGACTGAATCTCACCCCTGCAGTAAAATCAGAGTCCCAGTGACTGGACCTCCAGGGACATCCCTGTTTCCTTCCTTTGAAAGTGAGAAAACATGGGAATTCTCTGGCATTCCAGTGGTTAGAACTCTGTGCTTTCACTGTGGAGGGCAAGGGTTCAAACCCTGGTCAGGGACTAAGATCCTGCAAGCCACGTGGTGCAGCCAATAAATAAATGAATACACTTCATACATCTTTATTTATTTTAAAAATAATTTTATTTATTTTTCGCTATGCTGGGTCTTCACTGGTGTTTCTCTAGTTGCAGCGAGCAGGAGCTATTGTCTAGTTGCTGTAGTTGTGGCTCCTGGGCTTAGGTGCTCTGTGGCATGTGGGATCGTCTCAGACCGGGGATCAAACCCATGTCTCCTGCACTGGCAAGCAGATTCTTTACCACTAAGCCACCAGAGAAGCTCCATACATCTCTATTTAATTTTTTTTAAAGGAGGAAAAGAATACACCTCACAGTGTGTTGTGGAGTCTCATTGATTCACTTGCTCCTTCACTCAGCAAATAATTACTGAATGTCTATGTGGCATAAGCTGGTCTACATGTGTGGTGAGCAAGGTAGACAAGATTCCTTGAAGCTTACCTTTCAGTGGGGAGGGAAGGGGACAGACAAAAGAAACTAGAAATAGACAAGATAATTTGCGTTAGTGAGAGGTGCTATCAGGG